TCCCATACGGTGTCAAGTAAGTTTATTTCGTACTTAGCCCAATTTAAATTTTATTACATGCTTGAGCTAGATTTAAATTGAATTTATTCATATGCTTAGACCAATTTAAATTTGATTACATTAGCTAGATTTAAATTGAATTTATTCCGTACTCAGCCCAATTTAATTTTGATTACATGCTTAACTAGATTTTTATTGAATTTATTTCGTACTTAGACCATTTTAATTTATTATATGCTTAGCGATATTTCAATTAAATTGATTCCGTACTTTTACTTACAAGGTGGATAGGAGCAAATACGAATGACCATCAACCTGAGCATTCGTTACTGTTTTATCGTTCTGAGTTAGATAAACCATGGTGGAATCAGGTAATCATGTTTTGTCCATATTTGAACAAGTTCAATTTTATCAAAGTAAATGGTCGTTAATTCCGAATTTTTGAATGAATATAGGTTATATGGGATCCATATCCACGTGAAGTGGTTGAGCTGCATCATCTTAGGCACCCTCTGGATCACGAGACGTGGTTGTGCAAGGTGCCATTGATCTGCTGGCACATTGTGGAATGGCACCTACCCGATCGATCCCTGAGGCAATATCGAATGGAGCAACCAATTCCACAAGACCCGCCAGCAGGTTTCAGGGAGCTACATGCTATGGACCTCCGAAACAATGCAAACTGGCAGCAAAAGCATGGATTCTACATCAACATCTGGGAGAATCGATCCCAATGGGTGGTGCAAGGGATGCCGGAGACGAGACCGATGGGCTACCACGATGGGTACATGCAGTGGTATCGGAAGTTCACCCTGAGATGGGTGTCAAAGCAAGGTGCTGTGATGGGTTCGTTGGTAAGTCATCCTAATCTCCCTCATTCTAAAATATATTTATTTTAAGGTTTAGTTAATTTGATATATTTTGTGCTTTCCTTAGGTTGATGGTTTGGAACACGCGAAGTACACTCTCGAAAGTGCTCCAACCATGGATGAGCGGAAGACTACTTGGTTGTCCCGACTTATGAATAACCTACTTGTTTACTGTCAGAATATTTTACCTTCCACTCGAAATTGCGCCTCAACGCCTCTTCTGTAAAAGCATCCTGCACAGCGTCTTTCGATGTGAACGCCATACCCACCTCCAAATTGGCCGTCGGATTGTACACTGGCATAGGGACAAAGTCGGGGGGATCATTCTGACTATGTAAAAATTGAGTTGGAACCTGTGTGTAATATGGCGTGGGTGCCTCACGAAATGCCGCCTCATCCTCGTTATCATCAGTATCTTCCTCCTCCTCGCTCACTGATATCAAATCTTCCTCAGTATCCTCGTCGCTCGACTCGAATGGATAGCTCGGGCTAGAAGGATCAACATGACCACGATCACCAACATCGTCCTCTCGCTCATGTGAAGTACGCCCTGATCGAATGGTATTCTCGATTCCATACCACTCTGGCCCCCAAGCAGGCCATTGAACACCATCGGCCTCAACAAATGGGGCTGGTTTAGGAGGTTGCGAGTATTGGTCCCATCCTGCACTACTCGATCCACCGTAGTTGATTGAACCACCACCCTCCCCGTAACCTCCTGTATAACCACCGCCTTGGTAGTTGCTCGAACTACCACCCCATTCGTACCCTCCTGCAAAACCATCATCATAAGAATACTGGTGAGAATGAGATTCACCGAGCGCCTCGGTCTCAACATACACCTCTGCAAGCCGGACTTGGTTATCGCTTAGGAACTGTAACATCATCATAACCGCGTCATCATCGTTTATGACAACTTCTTGGAACACGACCCCGCTAGCACTCATGTCTGGATACCGGTAAGTAATTTTGCCAAGTCTCGTCTGTCCGCTCGTACAAACCCTTTCTGCACAAAGATCACAGAGTCTTGAAAATTGAATCGGGATTCAATTTTCAGCATAATGGATTCGCCGTCCTCATAATCAATGCCTATGTCAGAGTTTGTCACCCTTCCATTCCACCGAATAGTAAGATGAAACTTCTTGAATTTACCCATATCTACAATTTACAATAAGTATCTATTAGCTTAAAGACAGTAAAATTAACCAAAATCATATTGTACAACTAATATTAAATCATACCATAACTAACGAAAATCAATTCAACTAACTAACAACAACATAATACGAAAATTAAATCATACTATAACTAACGAACATAAGTTCAACTAACTAACAACAACATAATACGAAAATTAAATCATACTATAACTACTAAAAACATAATTAGACTATAATACGAAAAGTCTCAACATACCGAAAAATTTCTGTTTTGTGTATTATGCTCGATTTTGGCTGCTGAAATTTGAAGAAAGGGGAGTGGTTATGTTTTTACAACTGCTGGTGGTGTGCTATTTATAGGAAAATCTGCCTACTATTCACCGTTTTTGTCAAAAACGGTGAACACTATCACCGCGTTTGTCTCAAACGGTGAATAGGTGGTAGCTGCGACCTAATTTTGACCTACCAGGGGTGGGAAACGTGGGAAATAATCACCGCGTTACTTAACAACGATGAATGGGTTCACCGTTTTTGACCAAAACGGCGATGTGTTCACCGTTGTTAATTAACGCGGTGAAAACTTAACCGTTTTAGTTTAAAACGGTGAATACTTCACCGTTTTTGTTTAAGACGATGAAGTATTCACCGTGTTCGTCAAACGCGGTGATGTCCTTCACCGCGTTTGTCTAAAACGGTGATGCTCAAACATGTGTACTTTGGGAAAATTTTTTTTAACTCATGTATTTTGTGAATTTTTTTTAAGAACGTGTGTACAGTGGGATTTTTTCCGGCCCAAAAAGCAGCAGCGAAGGTTGCCTCAGAGAAGGGTGCTGCCAGTCGCAGCAGAGAAGAAGTCTCTGTCAAAGCAAAGGAAAATGTCAAGATTTACCCATGAAAGTTGCCTCTGCCCAAAATTAAGTAATTTGGGTATTTTGTGGGTTTTGTTTGCTGTGTCAGATTTGATTGGAATTTGAGAGTGGGTTTCCCATTCCCATTCCCATTCCCATTCCACGCACATCGATCTTATCCGTAAACATATCCTTAACAGCACCGAAATTATTGACAGTGAAAATTTGACATTTACTTGCATACTTTTCTACTGTCATTTCATTTTCCCGTTGAGCTGTCAAAGCTCCTTAGCCTGTTCTTGTGATATAAAATTATCTCCGGTATATCATCGAGACAAATGTGTCAAATGATGATTAGAATTTTTATAATCCAAGAAGATAGTTCTCCGAATTCTTTGAAACTGAATTACAGCAACGTAAAAAAATATGAAATTACCTTCATTGCCCCTATTTAGGCAGCCATAGTAGAGGTGGGGTTTGTAGGAGGTTATCAAAAATCAGTTAATTTCAATAATTCGAGTTATTATAAGAAGTTCAAAGATCATATATTATTTACTAACATATGCTACATACTAAAGTTAATAGCAAAATCTATTTATGAACACGGCCAAAAAGATTAACCTCAAAGGATTTGAATCCAACCAATCATGTAGCTAGGAGGAGGAGGTGGTGCGGAGAGGAAAATCTTGCTAAGCATTAGAGGTGGCAATTAGGATTCAAATCAATGAATCCAATCCAATCCATCCACTAAATTATCCACTTAATCCAATCCATTTAATCCAAATCCAATTGGATTGGTGGATTTATGGATCAATCCATGGATCCAAATGACAAATTATGATCTGGTACCTATATTTTTTATATTTTTACATTTTGGTACCTAAAATTTATATTTATATACGAAAAATATCATTAGAAATTTACATTTTGGTACCTAAAAATTTTCATTAAGACATTTTAGTACCTAAACTTTTCAAAATTTACATTTTGGTCCAAGCCTTGGATGTCATTTGGATTCATGGATCAATCCACCGATCCATTTGATCCAATCCATGAATCCACCAATCCATTGGATCCAATCCATTTGATCCATGGATCCACCAATCCAATCCACGAATGCACTAATCCGATCCAATTGCCACCTCTACTAAGCATTATATTTCTCATATTTGTAACTAGTCTTACACATAGTGTTTAACTATTACATGGGCATTCTTGTCTTCACTCATTTGTTGGTTCGACCCTGTCTAAGAGGCACGATATAGAAGATAGATCAGTAAAAGTGAGCCACGCATCACATACGAACATGTCTGATTGCTAAATTTTACAACCGTAAATCGCGCTTATCAGTCGCGGAACCCGTATGTTGATGGTATGGGTAGAAGTTAACCTCTCTTTTTAACTCTCAAAATCATATAAAATTCCAAAGTAAAGTTTATGATAAATTTGAGAGTTACGGTAGATAGTAAGACTTTTAGCCACCTCTTGTCAATTCAGATTCTTCGGATATAGATTTTTAACCGCCCACCCACCCACCTTGTTCCGATTTCTAACTCCGTCATTGCGCTTAACGGTCACGCTATCTGCCACTAGTTCCGAAGTGTAAATATTACACCTAAAATGTTAGGTTATAGATGAATAAAACAGTAGTAGCAGCATATGATGTAACAATTACAGCATCATCGCAATCCATACATTACAATCCAACCGAACGTCTGCAAAAGATGAGTTCAAAACAAATCTATCTCTGCCTTAATTAAAAAAAAAAAAATATTCCGCTGACAATTTAAACCCACAAAAAAAAAAAAAGTAGAATGAGAGAGGTGGGAGAGCCCTCATTTTCTTTCAAACCAATCCAGGATTGGGATATGATAGCTTTGCTGGTGGGACCCATCCAGAAATCCATTTGACAGAGCCACCCTCCAATCGCAGCACAGAGCCGAGGATCACCTCCATTTCCTCGCCCAATTGCAATCCAGAGAGATAAGTTCCCTCTCTCTCTCTCTCTCTGCGGTCCCCGAAGTCACCAAAAGAAAAGATCCCCCTCTTCTCCCAACAAAACAAAAAGAAATTTATAGCCCACTCTGCCCCCCCGCCTATTCCCTGCTCTGAAAAGTGCGCTTCTGGTGGGTCACCATCCTCTATAATACTATAGTCTGTACTCACTTTCCTTGTGTTCTCCCCCCCTGCAAATTTTTGCTCCCAACTGCAATTTGCCTCCCCTTTGTAGCTAGCTGAAAAAAACTCCATTACTACTACTGAAAAGATCTTCACCAGAAAGGAAAGGCCTTTTTCCTTTCTTTCTTCCTTTCTTTCGGCCCACTTTTCCATGAACAAGTCCCACAGCCAGCAGCAAGTGGCCGCCGCCGCAGCCAGCGCGTACGGCGGGAAAACGGCGAGAGCATGCGACAGCTGCATCAGGAGACGCGCCAGGTGGTACTGCGCCGCAGACGACGCCTTCCTCTGCCAGTCATGCGACGCCTCCGTCCACTCCGCCAACCCGCTCGCCCGCCGACACGAGCGCCTCCGCCTCAAGACCGCCTCCCTCAAGTCCCTCTCTCTCCCCTCTGACGATGGCGGCGGCGGTGGTGAAAGTAACTCTCTTCTCCAGCAGCCGGCCTGGCACCGTGGCTTCACCCGCAAGGCACGCACCCCACGCGCCAACGGTTCTTCTAAAACGACGTCGTCCCCCTCCGTTTCCAAGTCAAACCATTTTGAAGAGACGCTGACGATGATGCGGGTCCCACTCGTCCCGGAAATTGGCTGCGACGACCACGACGACGAGGAGGCGGCGGCGGCGGCGGAAGAGGAGCACCAGCTTCTTTATCGGGTCCCGATTCTCGACCCGCTCGAACTATGCAACGCCGACGAGTCCTTCCTCCACCTCCACCACCACCACCACCAGCATACAGCCGTTTCCGCTTCATCAAGCGGCGGCGGCGGTGATAGCAGCAACCAAGAAGAGAGCCTGTTGCAGATGCAGGGCTTGGTTCTGCCGTCGGACATGGAGCTGGCGGAGTTCGCCGCCGACGTGGAGAGCCTGCTCGGAAGGGGGCTGGAGGCCGAGTCCTTCGGCATGGAGGAGCTCGGGATTCTCGACTGTAGTAATCATCATAATGATAATAATAATAATAACAAAGACGGCGACGACGGTGACGTCAGCAAGCTGGTGAAGATGGAAACCGGCGAGTTCCTCAGCGGAGGAGGAGGAGGAGGAGTGGATGAGTACTCCGATGAGCAGCCCCTGTTCCAGCTCAGCTTCGACTACGGCGGGGACGAGGAGGCCGCCACGTGTCAGGAGGAGGATGAGAAGATGGTGATGAGGCTTACTGCTGGAGTCGAAGAAGAAGAAGGAGACCATAGTGTTGGTGTTGGTGGTGCCGATGAAGTTGGGGATAACATGGAGATTGGTAATAAGAAGAGGAAGAGGAGCATACTGTTGAGGTTGAATTACGAAGCTGTGATGGCCGCATGGGACACGTCGACTCAAGGCTCCACCTCCCCTTGGACCAACGGCCGGCGGCCCGAGTTCGACGTCAACGAATGCTGGCCCGACTGTATGGTAAGTGTATCTCTCGGTCTGTCTGTCAGTCCGCGTCATAGATGGCTATATGTTTATCAATGTTTTTAGATCGGTGTGTCTAACTGATTGAATAATATTGATGTGGAAATCTCAGGGAGGTTGCGGGAGGGAGTATCAGCACCACTTATTGGGATACCAATTGGGAGAAGGGAGGAGTTTGGGTGCGGCGGCGGCGGCGGCGGGGGACGGAGGGAGGGAGGCGAGGGTGTCGAGGTACAGGGAAAAGAGGAGGACGAGATTGTTCTCGAAGAAAATAAGGTACGAGGTGCGGAAGCTGAACGCGGAGAAGAGGCCGAGGATGAAGGGGAGGTTTGTGAAGAGGGCCAGTTTTGCGGCGGCGGCGGCGAGTAGTAGTACTACTTCGGTGCCTAATTACACTTCTTTGGTACTCAACAAGAAGTGACGACCATCATCAATTTGACGACCTTACTTATTTGTGAACTTTGTTCTTGTTGATGTTTGTGGCTAGCTAACTAGTTGGCTGCTGTTTTAATTTGGCGTTTTGAGCCGATTGTTGCTGCTATCTATAGCAGCAATGCAGTCATGCTTGCTTTGTACAGTGGTAGTGATACGATGTGAAGTTGAAACTCGTGCTGGTTTTTGGCCTGGGATTTGGTATGCCCGAATCCCTGGTTTCCCCTCCAGTTAATAAAATGTACTTTTTGAGCTTCTTGTATGAATGAAGCAAGTAATGTGTCATAATTGGCATCGATCTACTCGCTCCAGATATATTTTGTATTAGCAAGAAAATTTCTTTCCATGTACCCAAATTCAGCTGGGGAGACTTGTGCAGTTTTGTTCATCTTCGCTCTTGCGTTGGAGCTTTCTCTTGGATGATGCAACTAACTTTGACAGGCTTGGGGTGTGGAAAATGAGACATTACAAGCTCGCTTACTCAATACTTGAACTAAATGTGAGAATATTGTATAATGCTCCTAATGTCATACACAAATTGAAAAATTCGAGTTGGAATAATTATAAAGACTGTAACAACATCACATAATGATTCTTATTGGCCAAATAATAACGATCTTAGCTTTTAAGCACCTTTTCGAGAGCAGGAGAAGTGTTAACCTTCTAATTAATTTGGTTGAATGATTTTCCTGAACTACTGGGCCACGTAGTATTAATAATATACCTGTAATTATTTGGTTGGTACAATCGTTGATATTTTTTGGAGACATCCGTAAATTCATGTTTAGTATTACTTTTCCTATGATTATGAATGATCACCTGCCAAATCAATCCAATACACTAAAACTCGATCCACCAATGATTCTAGCTAGAGATTCATCAATCCTTGATAGTGCCTTTTCATCTCCGTCGAGTCCCTATAATAAGTATTGCATTTCCTTGAATTTGTTTAGAGTTGGCTTCTCGGATTCTTAGCTCCCACCTATATAATTCAAAAAGGAAAATATCAATATTAAAGATAAAGAAACTACGGGAACACGAATATAATCGGATGATAGTACTATCACTAATCTTTAATCCAGAAGTTTGATGTTTTAATTATTTAACTACTACATAACTTTAAAAACAAATCTATAAATAAAATCGTTGTTGCCCGACCAATAAGAAATCAACAAGCATATACCCTTTTGTTGATTTCATTTGCATACACAGCAAAAGGAAATTAACCAGACATATATCACCACAGAAGTATCTTTGTCCATTTGCTTTGCTCTGCTCCCCCCACAACCACCGACGACGTTCACAAATGTGACAAGAGGACCAAATAAAAGGAACATCGCAACTAATGTCATTTCCAAATATATCTATACACGACATTTAACTTTCAGGCTACACCATGCAAGTTTTCTCCACCATCATCCATTGTAGATGTGTATTGATGTCACATTAATAGGGATAAACTTCATTAGAAGTCTTAATTACTTATATACTTACTGGTTTTATGTCGTTTTCGTTGATTAGTTTGTTAGTAACTTCTCTTGATTTATGTAAATGGATTCTGGGAAGATGCAGACTGTGGCTAGGGTATTGGATCTTAATGTAGCTGATGTGGACTCTACAGCTAGTGAGCGCGAGAAATCATGCGCTGGTGCCTGCTCTCTTCGAGGATTGACTGGCACAACGGGCATGGAGGTGGAGCAATGCTGACTCCGTCAGCCAGGGAAGTTTCCGTTCTTTCGATCCTAGTTGTGTGTGGGCTTTGCTTCTGTTTGACCCGGATTAGTACCGGGGATTAGTGTGGAACCTTGATCCGGACTCCATCGTCTGATCTCCTCGGGAGTGGAAGAAACCTGTGGAGAGTCGGGGGCGGCCCCCGGGATCTACACTCCGACGGTCAAGTCAGTAAGGATATATGATAGAGTGTAGAGAGAAATGTAGAGAGAGATAAGGTTTAGAGAGAGAACCATAAGTGGTAAAATGAGGGAAGGGAGAGAAGAAGTCCTTTTGCTTGGAGGGTCTGGCCTCCTTATATAGGAGCTGGAGGCATCCTATGGACGCCTCCCGTTGTCATGGACGCCCCCGGTAGACTGGTCGCCTATCGTTGATGGACGCCTTCCGGTGGTGGACGCCCCCGGGTAGACTGGACGCCTCCCGGTGATGGACGCCTCCCGGGTGATGGACGCCTTCCGGTGGTGGACGCCCCCCGGGTGGTCTGGACGCCTCCCGGTGTACTGGACCCTAGAACGGGCTTGGGCCCAAGGTGAGACGCTTTGTGGTGGGCTTGGGCCCGTATTAGGCGGGTTAATACTATACCCAACATTTGCCCCTTTGCTTCTTGTATTCTGTAGGAATGGAAGGAGTAAAATAATGCGTTAAGGTGTATTAACTTGCCTTACTTGTGAGTCTGCACGATGAGGTTTTGCCCCTTGTGCGACCATCGCTCGGTGATGGATGCCCCTGGTGATGGACGCTTCCCGGTGGATGAGACGCCTCCCGGTGATGGACGCCTCCGGGTGACAGGATGCCTCTTGGTGATGGACGCCCCCGAGTGGACTGGACCTTTGCGAGTCCAAACGATGCGGTTTGCCCCTTGTGCGGCCATCATCTTTGCTTCTTTGTTTAGTATTCGATGTCTTGAGTTAGAGCTCTCAAGTCGTTTGAGATTTCCCCACTAGCCCATTGCGGAGCGTGCTAATATGTAGGCCGTAACTGTGAGCTGTATGCGTTAAGCTGTTGGACCGCGAGATGGACATGAGCTTGTGTGCATGTTAAGCGTGAGTTGTTGGCTGAATATTAGACGTTAGCTATGTGCTAGGGAGGGCGCCCCCACGACTTGAGAGTTTTAACTCAAGGCGACGTTTGTGTTGCGAAGATGCCACACCTGCTGGGAGGCGGGATCGTGTTAGCTACACCGATGGCGCGCCTACTAGGAGGCGGTTTCGGGCTTCTACGTAGAGAGGAAACATCGCTCAGAAAGCGGGATGCGATTTTATAATCTGCGAAAGATGTGAGTGACTAGTTCCCAATATACTTAGAGTTTAAATATGAGTATAGAATTTAGTGAGAAATATCATAGTATGATATTAGTGGGGTCTTCATGGCATAGTATTTGAGTATATCTTAGAAGGAAGTACTTAGCTTGGGAGAAGTTAAATGGCGATTAAGTATTGACCGCTGCATGTTTGATCAATGATGTGACCATGCAGCATACTGGTTTACGCGTCAGCTTGCAGCTGGTAGGTCCATGGTTCGAATCTTGCTGCAGGCGCCTACCCATTCATTTTTAATAAAGCGTGGGCCTTGATGCGAAACGGGCTTGGTTGAAGAATTGATGGGCTGAATGGAGGCGGTTTGATCATTGGTGGGCCGCGTTGCGGACGGATGCTATTAAATGAGATCCTGCTGATGTGAAGCGACCGTAAGTTGGAGGCGTATGCTGAAGGCGGGCTTAATTTGAGGCCCGATGCTGGGTTGCGCGGTCTTCGGACGCGGAGGCCCCATTGGTGGGCTCAAAATACGAAGCAGGACCAAACACGTTGTGGGTTGGAGGCGGGCCCAACATGAGTTGTGCGGTTGCATGGTTGGCGGGCCGAATGTAGGTTTGCGTCGGGCTTGTCTGGTAGACGTGATGCGGGCTAATTGTTGAGAGCGGGCTGAGGCAGTTGGTGGTGGCTCGCTCAGAGTCAACGCATCGATATTCCCACCCTCGGTCTTGGTAAGTGTGTTGTCAAGTCTGACAAAGAGAGTGAGTGACGTTGAGGTAGCTTTCTCCTCCACTTTCTTGATTTGTGGAGCTGTGTACAGCAGAAAACAGATCTGCTTTATTTTTTCTTCTTCTTTTCTTAGAGGTTGGAGAAACGATGATGATGTTGACTGCGGCAGGCCTCTCTTTGTCCGGTTGGAGCGCCAGCGGTGCTGGCAACACCGGTGATCGGAGTCTTTTTTTTTTTTTTTTTTTTGGCTGCTGCTTTGAAGATTGGCGAATCTGGCCAGAATCTTTTAGGCACAGCCCTCTCGTGTAGTTGGTGAAGTGAGACTGATTTCTTTCAATCCTCTGATGGGATTTTGCGGTCAGAGCCGTCGGTGGTAATTAGTGGAGAAAGAATCGATTTCCTCTCCTCCTTCAGATACCAAACGAGAAGAATACCAAATCAGGCCCCACGGTGGGCGCCAAAATGTTTGACCTGGATTAGTACCGGGGATTAGTGTGGAACCTTGATCCGGACTCCATCGTCTGATCTCCTCGGGAGTGGAAGAAACCTGTGGAGAGTCGGGGGCGGCCCCCGGGATCTACACTCCGACGGTCAAGTCAGTAAGGATATATGATAGAGTGTAGAGAGAAATGTAGAGAGAGATAAGGTTTAGAGAGAGAACCATAAGTGGTAAAATGAGGGAAGGGAGAGAAGAAGTCCTTTTGCTTGGAGGGTCTGGCCTCCTTATATAGGAGCCGGAGGCATCCTATGGACGCCTCCCATTGTCATGGACGCTCCCGGTAGACTGGTCGCCTATCGTTGATGGACGCCTTCCGATGAATGGACGCCTTCCGGTGGTGGACGCCTCCCGGTGATGGATGCCTTCCGGTGGTGGACGCCCCCCGGGTGGTCTGGACGCCTCCCGATGTACTGGACCCTAGAACGGGCTTGGGCCCAAGGTGAGACGCTTTGTGGTGGGCTTGGGCCCGTATTAGGCGGGTTAATACTATACCCAACAGCTTCTTTTTTAGTATCTTTTTTAGGTTAGTATTTTCTACTGGAACTGCCGCGGTGCGGCAGACCCCAATTTTCTAACGTAATTCTTTGAATTTCGGCGGGTTCATCGCCCGACCATTGTCTTCATTTCAGAACCGAAGATAAGTGGCACGGAAGCGGACAACGTGATCAGACAGATGGGTTATGACAAGGTGAAGCGGGTTGAAGCTAGGGGGTTTTCAGGCGGGCTGTGGGCGCTCTGGAATGCAGGGGATGTGGAGTTGACCATGGAAGCTTCGAGTGACCAGATCCTCCACTTCCGTGTTCGCCTGCACACAAATGAGGAGTGTCTCATCTCGGGAGTCTATGGCTCGCCTAATCCTAGTCACCGTCGAGCGTTGTGGAAAACCATGCGTGCTCTCTCCTCCGGCACCTCTCTGCTGTGGCTGGTCCTCGGTGATTTCAACGCCTTGCTCGGTCCGGAGGATAAAAGAGGGGGTGCATCTTTTAACATGTCTCAGAGTAGGGAGTTTCAGGATTGTGTGGAGGATTGCAGCTTGATGGATCTACAGTTTGTGGGGCCGCGGTTTACTTGGGCAGGGCCGAGAGGGTTGAAGGAGAGGCTCGATAGAGCCGTTTGTAATACACAATGGCTTCAGAGCTTCCCAGAGTCCTTCACGACCCATCTCACTAAAGTCAAATCGGACCATCGCCCCATTCTAGTTGCGATGGAGAAGTGCGCGGGCCGAGGAGAGGGGAGAAGCCCTTTCGCTTCCTAGTGTCGTGGATGCAGCATAATGACTTTTCCCTTGCAGTTCAGGAGGGATGGGCGAAGGGTGACAGCTACAGGAGCAGTCTGGCTCTACTTACGAAGGATCTCCGGAATTGGAACAAGGAGGTGTTTGGAGACATATTTTCTAGGAAAAGAAGGCTCATGGCTCAGCTCAACCGCCTAGAGATGAGAAATGAGTCTCACCCGTCGTCTATAAGTCTCAAGGAAGAGGAGGAGGTTCGGCTAAGTCTACAGGAAACACTGAGGCATGAAGCTGCTCTCTGGTATCAAAAGGTTCGCGCTCAGTGGTTTGTTGAGGGGGATTTGAATACACGCTTCTTTCATCTTGCTACTCTCAAACAGCGAAGCGACAACCGCATTCGGAGGCTCAAGCGGGAGGATGGGGAGTGGACCGAGAGCAAAGAGGAGATGATGCAGATGGTGAGTCTTTTCCTTCGCACCTTTTTCATGGACCAGTCAAACACGGAAGCGGACAAAGTGATCAGACAGATGGGTTATGACAAGGTGAAGCGGGTTGAAGCTAGGGGGTTTTCAGGCGGGCTGTGGGCGCTCTGGAATGCAGGGGATGTGGACTTGACCATGGAAGCTTCAAGTGACCAGATCCTCCACTTCCGTGTTCGCCTGCACACAAATGAGGAGTGTCTCATCTCGGGAGTCTATGGCTCGCCTAATCCTAGTCACCGTCGAGCATTGTGGGAAACCATGCGTGCTCTCTCCTCCGGCACCTCTCTGCTGTGGCTGTTCCTTGGTGATTTCAACGCCTTGCTCGGTCCGGAGGATAAAAGAGGGGGTGCATCTTTTAACATGTCTCAGAGTAGGGAGTTTCAGGATTGTGTGGACGATTGCAGCTTGATGGATCTACAGTTTGTGGGGCCGCGGTTTACTTGGGCAGGGCCGAGAGGGTTGAAGGAGAGGCTCGATAGAGCCGTTTGTAATACACAATGGCTTCAGAGCTTCCCAGAGTCCTTCACGACCCATCTCACTAAAGTCAAATCGGACCATCGCCCCATTCTAGTTGCGATGGAGAAGTGCGCGGGCCGAGGAGAGTGGAGAAGCCCTTTCGCTTCCTAGCGCCGTGGATGCAGCATAATGACTTTTCCCTTGCACTTCAGGAGGTATGGGCGAAGGGTGACAGCTACAGGAGCAGTCTGGCTCTGCTTACGAAGGATCTTCGGAATTGGAACAAGGAGGTGTTTGGAGACATATTTGCTAGGAAAAGAAGGCTCATGGCTCAGCTCAACCACCTAGAGATGAGAAATGAGTCTCACCCGTCGTCTATAAGTCTCAAGGAAGAGGAGGAGGTTCGGCTAAGTCTACAGGAAACGCTGAGGCATGAAGCTGCTCTCTGGTATCAAAAGGCTCGCGCGCAGTGGTTTGTTGAGGGGGATTTGAATACACGCTTCTTTCATCTTGCTACTCTCAAACAGCGAAGCGACAACCGCATTCGGAGGCTCAAGCGGGAGGATGGGGAGTGGACCGAGAACAAAGAGGAGATGATGCAGATGGTGAGTCTTTTCCTTCTCACCTTTTTCACGGACCAGTCAAATTCGGTGGACTTCTTGGTTCTGGCTTTCCCTGCCCTCGAGGACATGACCAACCTCGATGCTGAGCTGGTTGGGAGCGAGGTGGTAACAACACTAAAGAGCATGGGGCCCTATAAAGCCCCCGGGAAGGATGGTTACCAACCTCTCTTCTTCCAACGATGCTGAGGAACGGTCGGTAGTTATTTCTCCCAATTTGTTATGGATTGCTTCAGGTTCCCGGATTTGGTCACATCTGTGAATGAGACGCTTATGGTGCTCATACCTAAGAAGAAGTGCCCTGAGCTGGTTTCTGGCTTGCGACCGATAAGTCTTTGTAACGTTGCCTATAAAACGTTTACGAAGTGTTTAGCCAACAGGCTGAAGCCATTGATGTCGCTGTTCATCATGCCCAATCAAACGAGCTTTGTTCCCGGTCGGCATATCCAGAGTAATATTATTATTCTTCAGGAGGTGGTTCATACCATGAGTATGAAGACAGGGAAGAAAGGGTAGATGGTGATCAAAATTGATTTGGCCAAGGAGTATGATTGGTTGAGTTGGAGTTTCGTGGTCAGCACGTTATTTGCCGCAAGGCTGCCAGAGAGGTTTGTGAATGCGGTCGTTGCCTGTTTAACATCATCAACGATTGAGATTCTGTGGAATGGTTCTACGACGGAATCTTTCGAGTCAACCAGGGGGCTTCGCCAGGGGTCCCGCTCTCACCCTATGTATCGAGCGTCTGGGTCACTTAATCCAGGAGGAGCTGCGCAGGAAGCGATGGAAACCAATCCAACTGGTTCGGGGAGGAACTGAGCTAACCCATCTTTTTTTTGAGGACGGCCTGGTACTCTTTGCTGAGGCATCTTTGGAGCAAGCGGAGGTTATCAGATCTTGCCTGCAGAGGTTTTGTGAGGCATCAGGGGAGATCGTGAGTATGGATAAGTCTCGAGTGTTCTTCTCGAAGAACACAAAACGAGACGTCTGTAAGGAGATTAGCGATCATCTCCAAATCACGATGACACAGGACCTGGGGAAATACCTTGGTGTACCTGTCCTGCATGGTCGGGTGACGAAACATACATATAAATATATTATTGATCTCATTGACCAACGCCATGCAGGTTGGAAAGCGGAGAACTTGTCTCTTGCAAGTCGGGTTACACTTGCTATCTCGGTGCTGAATGCCATCCCGTCTTATGTTATGCAAACATCGATGCTGCCATCGGGAATATGTGACTACATGGACCGTAAGATCAGGGCGTTCATTTGGGGCTCTCAAGAAGGTAGGCGGCGAATCCATTTGATCAACTGGAAAACGATTTGCCTCCCAAAAGACCAAGGCGGGCTGGGGCTACGGAATGCGCGGGATTTGAACACCGCGTATTTCTTGAAGCTCGCTTGGGGAATTCTCAAGCAACCGGGGGAGCTGTGGGTTCGGGTGTTGAAGGAGAAGTATCTCAGGGAGGGCCCAGATGGAGTGGAGCTTCGGCGAAAGACCCGCTGTTCTCAACTTTGGCGTGGAGTGCGGCGTGTGTGGGGTATGATGCTGGAGGGCGTGCGGTGGAGTATTCGGGACGAAGAGGAGACACTGTTTTGGAATGATAAGTGGGTGGATGGCGATATGGTGTTGGAAGATCACTTGCTGCCGTCGGCTAGGGGATTCGACCTGCAAGCATCGGTCGCAAGCATGACCACCTCGATCGGTGAGTGGAATTCCGCTCTTCTATCTTCTATTCTCCCTAATTAGGTGTTTTTGCAGGTGATTGGGATGCCGCCACCGCAGCCGGAGCTCAGGAAGGACGAGCTGGTATGGGGACTGGAGGACAATGGCAAATTCACCTTAAAGTCAGCTTACCAGCTCGTGGCGGCTATTGATGGCGATGAGGCGCACGCAGGGTGGAAAGCGGTGTAGAAATGGCCTGGCCCGAGCCGGGTTCGACACTACCTCTGGATGGAGACTCATGGCGTGCTCCTGACCAACGAGGAACGACGACGACGCCACCTTGCTATAGCACGACCTGCCAGCGCTGCAAGCAGGACTCGGAGTCCCCGGAGCACGTGTTCCGTACCTGCAGTTTCGCGAGGCAAGTTTGGGGCTCAACCCTTCCGGAGGCAGCAGCGAGCGCAGATTCAAGGGAGTTCAATGACTGGTTCATGCACTTTCTCTCAAACACAGAGTCTCAGGTTCGGTTTGGCTTTACTATATGGTTCCTATGGCGTTCGCGGAATGATTACATCTTCGCAGGCATCGAGGAGGCACCCAATAAGTTATCCCAAAGAATCCTAGCCTGGGAGGTCGTCGCGCAAGTAAGTAGAGCAGCAGAACAAGCTATATCGTTGGGGAGGTTGGGGGTTGTGTCGAGACGTGGCTGTTGGGTGGAGACCAGCCCCGACAGGATGGCACACAGTGAACTCCGATGGCTCGCTCCTGCGGGAATCGGGGTCTACTGCTGCAGGAGGTGCGCTTAGAGACGGACAGGGTCGCTTATTGGGGGCTTACTCGATGAATCTGGGGAGATGTTCAATCACTCGCGCGGAGATTTGGGGCGCCATACGAGATCTTCAGCTTGCTTGGGACCTCGGCTACAAAAGAGTGGAACTGCAACTGGATTCCACTACGGCTGTTCGACTTCTCTCTGAGACTGCCTCGACGGACAACCAACACGCCATCCTCGTGCTCTCTTTCCATGAACTCCGGAAGCAGGATTGGGAACTCAGAGTTACCCATGTTTACAGGGAAGCTAACTTCCTTGCTGAGCATTTGGAGCATCTAGGCCATTCTCTTAGTCCGGGTACCCACCATGTAGATCCTGAGGATCCTTACATTAGCCACTGGTTGTTGTATGACTCTGTGGGCGGTTTTACCGTTCGTTCGATTTCGTAATTGAGGTTGCGGTGCTTTGCACCCTTTTCACCAAAAAAAATGTAAAACTAAGATGATAAGAGAATTTGTTATCCATTGTCACTCTTGATACTGTGATGATCAAGTTATAGTAATTCAGACATGGAGATAAAAGTAACTAGAGTTTCTTTTTTATTTATTAGGATATCAAAATAGATTTTTTTATATAGGTTTAATGAGTTCTAACCACTCAATCTGTCTACAACATCTAACTCGATATACAGACTCACGTTTAAAGATTGTCAATACAATTTTCCTGTTGTAATTGAAAACCAAACTAGTACTCCAATCCAATTTGGTTGTGGCTTACCTTTTCCCACCCCTACTTCCATCAGCCTTTTATTGTTAACCATCCATGATTGAAGCATATTTGATATCTACCCCTTTATATTGCCGGAGAAACCAATATCTAAGGAAAAAATCCAAAACTACCACTGTTTAAAAAAAAATTACAAAAATACCACCCACTCCAAATAATTTCCAAAAATACCATCGTTTATACAAAACCGCTCCTTTAATGTGCGGTTTTTAATGAAACCGCGCCTCCAGGCAGCGGTTATAGCACAAAACGCGCCTCGAAGGCGCGGTTTGACCTTGCATGGCTGTCAAAACGCGTGGCCACGTGGCGGTGCATCAAACCGCACGATGGGGGAGCTATCTGACGGCCAAAACGCGTGCCAACTCAGCGATCTGCGTCGCCCACAAAAACTGCTCCCTCGAGGCGCGGTTTGACTGTTGGGAAACGCAAACTGCGTGCTGGAGGCGCGGTTTTCGGTGGGGTAAAATGACAGAACCGGCCCTCCCCCACGCGGTTTCTCACCTATATAAACCCCCCTCCCCCTTCATTTTTCTGCACACCACCAAACTCATTCCCCCCTCTCTCCCTCTAACTTCTTATAATATATTTATATATGTATAAATCATCAACTTATAATGAAATTTAAATTCTTCTCTAGGATGCATACCATATAGTCCGCTATAGGGGCACAACGAATGTTCTTGAATGGAACGACTCCATCTTGCCCTTTCTAAAAAGGGCAAGATTGGATTCGATTAGGCATTTCAATGGAATCAAGATCGACCGCCAACTCATCACGGCGATGGTAGAGAGATGGCGAAAGGAGACACACTGCTTCAATTTTCGTGAAGGCGAGTGCACCATCACACTTAAGGACATCGCCATCCTAAACGATCTCCCCATCGATGGTGATGTTGTTTGTGTGGACTCTACGCCACCACCTAAAGTTGTTGCCAATATGAGTGGTTGGCAACATTTTATATGGACAGTCACCGGGTTGGTTCCGCCAGAAAAGGGAGATCACGATGCGGATGGTCATCCACCATTGTCCAAGGGCCAAGTATCCATCACGTGGTTGACAGCGGAGATCAGGCGTAAGCACAACCCTGAGTTCAGAGGCATTCCCCTCACGGAGGAAAGTTCGGAGCGTGATAAAGACATTTATGCACGTATCTACATCCTTGGCATGATCGGAGGAGTTTTCTTCCCCAAGAAATCCAACAACCTAATCAACAATTCATGGTTGAAGATCATACTTGGTAGTTGGGATGATATGGGAAACCTGAGCTGGGCATCTGCTTGCCTAGCTCATCTCTACCGATCCCTATGTAATGCTAGTGCGAGAGCGGTGAAGGAGATTGATGGGGCCATGTTCATCGTCCAATTTTGGGCTTGAGAGCATTTTCCATGGATTGCGCCGAAGGTTGAACCCGACAAGGAATGGGGTCCCGACCATCTCCTACGACATGAAGCTTATGGTTGTAGGTAAATGTTTTCTATACCACTCATAGTTCTCACAATATTTTACTAATTGGGTATTTTATAACGAACCGGGTATTATGTATTAACACTCCATACTTTTTGGATTGAATAGGTGGCTTGGTGAAAAAACATGCGACAACCTAGGAGCGCATAAGTTGGAGGAGTATCGTAGGAGGCTTGATCGCCTTTGGGAAGCAGAGGTGAGCATCATAATACGCTATTAAAACCTACTTTTTTAACTTATATTATTATGTTGATTAATGGTTTTGTTTATAAACCTTTGTAGCTTAAGTTCGATCCGTATCCAGAACGGATTGTTGCGCATCACGTCCACAAGTTCTCGTTACATCCCGGTCAATGGTGCACCCGAGTTCCACTAATCTGCCACCATATAGTGGAGTGGCACTTGCCGGATCGATGTCTACGACAATTTGGACGTGAGCAATGCATACCATTGGATGTCCCGGAGAGTCAGAAGGGGTACCACGGGAAAGATGGTCGACAAGGACCTACTAATTGGCCGGAGGAGTATGAAAACTTGATCCGCCTGTGGAATGTTAGGCAAGATCAAGATATTGTGACGACATCTCATGTGGGGCGGATGGGCTACCATGACCCATACCTGGAAACCTACCGAAGACAATCTGTTCGTTACATGATCCCCGAAGGAGCGGCGGACGGAGCTTTGATAAGTAATTATTTTTTTATTTATTTAGTCATGTGGTGCATTATTTTTTAAATGGCTAACTTTGTTATTTTCTTCGATTTAGGTTGATGGCATCGAGCGAATCCACGACCTCGCGCGGACGGCAGATCATTCGGCGGCGGGTCGAGAGGTGGGGCTCATTCGAAGGATAGCAAACAATCTCCTTGGTTGTATGCGAGCGCGCGGACGTGACCATCATAGATACCCTCCAGTTCCCCCAGTGAGACCGCCGCCGGTGACGCAGGATGTTGACCCGGTGCCTCCGCCGGTCCATAGAAGGCCAAACAAAGCTGCAAGGGATCGACCTCACGTGCCGGAGATCAAGCCGATTACGGCGTGGAAGGCGCCTACTCATTTGGAGGTGTGCAGCGGTGAAGGGGGGAGTACTCACTACGATCCCACGCCCGGAAGCCAGTATGATCCGTGATCGAGTTTCCAATACAATATCCGGCCCAGTTTCCAGTATGAACAACGGCCAAGTACATTTCATGACGGCACATCCTTAGCTACTTGGGCCGAGGGTTCATACTCAAGTCCCCGCCAAGACTTCTCACCTCTGCAGCGACAACAACAACAATGGCAACAACAACAATGGCAATCAAGTCCCCACCATGACTTCTCACATTGGGATCGTCCACAACAACAATGGCAACAACAATGGCAATCCACTCCCCACCGTATGAGCACGGATAGCCCTCGACCGCAGACGGAGGGGCCATCTACCACGGAACTGAGGCGGCATAGCACGGAGGATCGCCCGTCCACGGCGAATAGGAATGTGCCACCCGTTCCACCATCAGCTACACCTGGTGGACCAGTCGCCCATCGAACAAGGAAACATAGGGCAAATCGTCGAAATAATGCATGAGTGTGACAAGCTTTGATAGAAGTTGTACTCGGGTGGGTACTGGTAGCCTGCTTGTTGGTTGTAATCCGCCTGTTGAGCTTCTTCTTCACATGAAGGGAAGGATTGATGAATTCCTTCAATTCCATGATGATAATCATGCCTCCAGCTCGAGTCTTGGAAATCCTGGTGGGGATGATCTTCGTATAATACACTCCCACCGTGGATACCAGATGTTTGGCCATCTCCAGAATGACCTACATTGCCTTCGACGACCTCGGTGTAAACGAACATCTCCGCTTGCTTAATTTTATTGGTGGTCAAAAATTGGACCATGGCATCAACGTCCTCCTGAGTGGTAAGGAGGAATTCCTCATTCCACAGCGACCCGTCATGTCTGTTTGGATATCGATACACCATTCGATCAACTCTTCTAGTGCCATCCATGCAGGTAATCTGAGTGCACATTTGATGGAGCTCTTCAAGCATCGGTCTCGTGCGGACCTTCATTTTATAAAAATTGCCACCGACGTAACTTACACCCTTTTCGGTCTCTTCCGTGTAACCATTCCACCGCAACCCAAGCGTGAACCTTTGGAATGCCATCTGCAATGAAAAGTAATACAAGTTACTAACATAACATCACAAAGGACAATGAAAAGTAATTAAGTTACTAACATAAAATTACAAATGACAATGAAAAGTAATTAAGTTACTAACATAAAATCACAAAGGACAATGAAAAGTAATTAAGTTTCTAACATAAAATCACAAAGGACAATGAAAAGTAATTACGAAACAAACTTACGAATTAACGTTAATCGCAAAAACTAAATAATTTAAAGGTGCAAAGCTGAAATTTTAAGAAGGAAGAGGAGGAGGTTTGAAGAATTGAGTTCTCTGAAACAGCCTTTTATAGGCAAATTTTGCAGCAAAACCGCTGGGGGGAAGCGGTTTTAGGTCTGCCATGCAGCCCTACCCCCTGCATGCCGACATGTCCGACATATTTGCTGTCGGGTGACCAGGCACAAACCGCGCCTTGGGGCAGCGGTTTATGTCCTGACATTGTAAACCGCCACTTGGTAAGGCGGTTTGTAATGCCGACACTTAAACGCTCCCTCTTGAAGCGTTTTGTCGTAGGGTTAGCCTATAACCGCGCCTTTCAGAAGCGGTTTTTTCTGGAAATTAAAAACGCCTCTTGGAGGCGCGGTTATAATGTAAAACGCTGCCTGGAGGCGCGGTTTCAATTAAAACCGCTCATTAGAGGCGCGGTTTTATATAAATGATGGTATTTTTGGAAATTATTTGGAGTGGGTGGTATTTTTGTAATTTTTTTTTTAAACAATGGTAGTTTTGGATTTTTTCCAATATCTAACTGCTGTGTAAATTGAGTTATTGTATAGTTACTCTAGCGCCGATATTCTTTTCCCAATGGAAAGCTCAATCAATTACCTAAATAAGCCTCAAAAAGTGACGTTGAAACTTGAAAAGGACCAGATAAGAAAATTAAATTTCAAATTTGGTGTTTTCTTCGCAAATTGGTCTTGGATTATATGGGAACCCTTTTGGTCCACAGCCACATGAGATACAAAAAAGTCCTAATAATGAATTGCCTAAAACCAAAAGGCATCTTCGTGTAGGAGGTTGTACCGGAAAAATAGTAGTGGGGTACTGAAATCGTGGTTTAATTATGGTTCAACGATTTCATATTACTAAATACCATATACTAGTTTCACTTCCGTTAAAATGTTTTAATGGTCGAATCGCCGCTACGATATGATTTTTTAATCCTTGATTGAACTCAATGTCTTGACGTGCCTTTAACTTATATTTTAGGGGAAACACTATCATTTGTACTTCATTAGTGGCATTCGATAGGATTCCCGAAAATTATTTAATTCGTTTCAAATGCATATTGTGGATGTGATATGACAAACACCATATAGTATTTAGCATTTGATATTTTATCAAATATGATATTTTATCAAATATGATATTTAGATAAATTAGAAAGTGCGGTATTGTTCTTGTAAAATTTTCTTTTTAAATTGATTAAATACTCATTTACTCTTCTCTTATTACATAAATAAGAATGAACCTCCTTTTTTCCCGTTGAATATGAACCTCCTTCTCTTATCCCTATGAAAACATAGATTGTGGGTTGTCATTTCTTCCATAGACTTCTTAAGCGATGTAGACGACAAATGAGAGCTTGGGAACACTGACGATGGCCACAATTACTAACGTGCACAGGTCTTCGACTAACAATTGAAAAATGAATAAAAAGAGCACTGACGATGGCCACAATTACTAACGTGCACAGGTCTTCGACTAACAATTGAAAAATGAATAAAAAGAGCACGTTAGAGTGATTGGAAATCATGGAAGAACCAACAACGAAAAATATGAATACAAATACGAATAACAATTGAATGCTAACCATTCAGGATTTGTTTTTTTTCTTCTTAACAATATAAAGAGTATGTGTATAAAGTATACATTATTTAGATAATCGGTGATAATCATGTTAATCTTCTCTTTATCGTTCCAATTTTACGAAATGCTCCTGAAAGGACTCAATTATAGCGATGGGAGTTCGGTTGAATGATGCAAAGCAACCGAAAATGTTGCCCTAAGGCCATTGACAGATACATCAAGGTGAAACCAAAAACATCATCATGTAGATAAAAGTAACAAGCTGCTATTGGACTAACATGTATCTGAGTTAGTGTACAAGCAAAGTAAAAAACAAGTCAGCTCTTTATATCAAGATATCAGGAATGGAAAACTCTATATTCTATCAGCTTCAATTCAAAGGCGTGTCAAGTATACAAAACGCAACCTGGGCTGAATGAATGCAGGAGGTTATTGGAATAGATGATTCAAGAGTAAAGCTCCCAAGCAAACTTGCCAGATTGGAGAAGGATGATTGATGACTTAATACCAAAATTGATGATTTACCACACCGGTATCTTAATTATCTATTCAAAGGTTCTAGCTGGACTTCCATTCTTCCAGACTGTTGCAAACCCGTTTCGGCAGAAGCCCTAGTTGGGTTCAGGAGATCAACAGAATCATCTTCTTCCACATTACCCAGCACCCAGTTACTTCTTCCTGCATATACTCTGCCTCTCATTCTCTGCCTAGCTCTATGTTCAAGATAAAATAACATCAACCCTCCAATTAAGAACCAAGCTATCATTGCCCAAATATAACCATGAACGTTTTCCCCTCCATATCTATCCCCCAAATGTGTCGTCCCAGTGAACAACGCAACGATCCCGAAGATGATGGCAGACCTTCCAACTATGACATGTAAGTACTCCCACATAAGCCTTTTCCTTGTGACTTCTTCTCCATTACCAGGTCTTTTGGGCCTCATGAAAGCATTCACCGGTTGGACGCATGCCAAACATACAGCAGCAAGCCCAAACTTAACGTGCAATGAACTCACATACAGACCACGAAGTTCAGCTACTGCAAAAAGAAAGCCGAGCAAGACGATAGCCAAACCTGAGTACTGCAAGTAGACATGAATCTGATACCAACTATCGCCCTTAACATGCTTCAAGTATCTAGCTGCAAGAATACCACCAGGGAGTAAAATACCCCAAGCAAGGAACATCATGAATCCATGCACAGCCAAAACCGGTCGAATATCTTGCTCTGCTTCTGTAGATCCACCTAGGAGTAAAATACGCACGGGCCTTTGACTTGTTGCTGAATGCATGTTTTTCTCACTCAGTTGTTCATCTGACCAACTAGCACCCATTGCCCACACAACCTTAAGAGGACTTGTGCGATCAATAATGTTTTTGCACTCTATCCGGCGTCTGTGAACACATGTGGGTTTCAAGGGCCTTGTAAACTCTAAGGTAATGATCCCGTTCTCAGATTTGCACCTTACATAAGTCAGATTCTCATTCGTAGCATGCACTCTCAACGCATCCTTTCCATCAATCCAATATGTTCTCACATGCCCTTTGCCTTCATCATCAACCCAACCAACATAAACAAAGCTGTCCACCATTCCCGTACCAAACCCTATTGCAACATAACCACTTTTTCTCTCTCCTCGAGCTGCGATCGATATGCTTTCATCAGACAATGTCCAAAAGAAGGTTACTTGCTGATCATCAAGGAAAACACTGTTATTGTACATATCGGATAGACCCCCATCAACAACCTGAACCCTCCATCCCATTTTCTGCTGATACAACGATTGATAGTATACTTGATTGGGTGTATTTCTATCTGGCGCCCAAACTAACTCCATTGGACTAGCTGGAACACCCTCGGCTTCAGGCCCTCCTGCATAGATAGTTTCTGTGTTGTTTCTCAATGTGGCATTCCCGCCAAGCATGTCAGAAGTTAAATACAACGCAACATCATGTCCCGCTTCTACAGAAAAAGTTACTGGTACACCTCTTTCAACTCTTAAAACTGGAGCTTCCTTCTTATTTATGTAAAATACCTTCGCTGGGTTGGGAGCATTAGGATAGTGTAGTGCAGGTCCAGAAGTAACAACAAGAGGTACATTTCCATCTGCAATTATCAAATCCTGATCCTCCTTCTCTGCAGCATCCAGTGGCCCAAAACAATCATTCACTTGCTCAGACACATTAAGCCGGCGATGTCCATAAGTTACAGCCTCTGGACCACCATGATTTTGAGGCAGGTAGTAAGGCCTAAATGAATCTGGCGGCCTCATCAAACCTATTGCCCAGATCACGTTCATCTTTTGTGTATAATTCACGGGCAAGTCATATTTCTTGTCTACCGGAATCAACAGCCTCCTGTACCTGACAAAGGATACACCATCCTTCCTGTGGCCATAGATGGTCTGAGTGTTGTTCACCAAACCAACTGGGCCTGATCCTTCAAATATGGTATCAGGGCAAACACCATCTGCTGAACCATCCTTGTTTACAGTACATTCACCATACTTTGTAATGAAAAAATCGTCAGCAAATGGCCATCCTTCTTCGGTGAACCCAGCCACAGCTACATCGGCACCAATCATTAAATCTGAATTGGATTTCGGATTGGCCCATCCAAATGCCATATAATTCTGGATGCCTATAGCTGCTTCCAATCCTATATCGATGAAAGTCTTATTGGCACTCAGACTCCATCTTACTCGATAGTCTTTAGACAGTACCTTGCAGTTATCAAACATTGTTGGTACAGTAAAGATCCGACCTTTCTCTTTACCTTGACTAGCATTGTTATCGGATGGCATTGGAGGCAAAGCAGGGCTTAATCTGGAGGCTAGCGCAGACTCATTCTTCAGAATAATGTGACCGAAATCAGAGGCTGTGGGAATGTCCCAAACCGAAAGGACTTGGAACTTCTCCCAAGTGACATTTTTACTCAATTTAACAACAAAAGATGCATTTTTAAATGTATCGTTAAGATTTTGATCAGAGACCACAAAGCCCTTGGTGATGTTGACAAAATCAGTAGCACTTGCTCCCCACCAGTGAACATCCAAGCCAGGTAACATGTCAAATTCAGAAACCCTAAATGAGCAGTCATCAACTATGGTCATCACTCCACGAAGCTGGTGCTGCACCATGAAGAATTGGGACTCAAACCCAATGAAGGAGCTGGTTTTGGGACAGGACTGACCCGAATCAGCAAGGCAACCTAGAAACAACAAACTGATCACAGACCTGCAACAGAATTTTCATCATGTGTAAGAAAAACAGTGAACAATGGACAAACAAGTTATGATAATGCAGTTTGCAGTCTAAGATGTATTGAGTTGCTAATTACAGCACTACAGTATGCAACTAAAATGCATCTATTATTAGTGATCAGGGAAAACCTAAAGACATTACATTTTTGCATCCAACAGAGAAAATGAAGTATGAGCTTCTTTTTACAATAATACAAGAAGAGAAAGAAAAGGAGAATAAAGGTAATCCAACCTCATTAATAGTTGACCAAACAGAGCCCTTAGACGTTGACTCAAACAAAATGATTTTGTGAATCCTCCTCCCTCTTTCCTCATATTAACGTGCCCTGAATTTCCCCCTGAAAATGTGAATAACAAATATGATCATATGATTGAAACCTCATCACCAATCATCTATGAATAAAGCTTCAGAATAAAATGTTACCAAGATTACTATTTGGGCAACACTTTCTCCCCGTCTGACTTCCTGATGAACGTTTTGCATCAGTCAACACAGTTTCATCACTTTCATCCTCCCCATCACTCATATCCTCTATACCGGCAAGCTCATCATCATCAACACAACCCATCTGAGAACATTGCAAGTTCAACATTTATATCCCACCTCCAGTGCAATGTAAGCAGTTGCTGATGCACCATAACAACTAGGAGATATAAAACCGTAGAAAATCTTTTGTAATGACGAAACAAACGAACAACAAGCAAATATAAGAACCATGTAGTTCTAACCGCTGTAAAGCAATGGTGATATACTCTCGAGGCTTCAGTACAGTGGCACTGTTGTAGAAAATGTTCGCATACAAATATGCGAATGTAAAATGTGAGAAAGAGAAAGCTAAAGAAACCGCATTGTCTCTCGCTATTGTGAAGCACTATATCATAATAAGTCGAACCTATGAACATTGAGGAAAAACCTTTGTCTTATTTAAATTGACGTTTAAGAATGACATTTGAAGAATCATTACAATTTTACAGTCTTCTAGTCAAAGGTTTCCCCACATCAATAAGAAGGGTTTTTCACCAGCTATTTTTATTAACGCAAGAAATCATCATTCTGTGTTTTCCACCGTTGCGACTACAGCAAGAGCAAAACCATTGTTTATCTAGTGTAGAGCTTGTCGATCCTATGAAGTGAAATGGCGAGCCTAAGAAAATCATTCAATGCTAGCATAGAAGCTAACCCAGGAAATCCTGCCATCATAACCAACCAGCCAATTATCGAAGCAGTTCCGTTCTGCATTGGGTTTTACTAGTGAAACAACTTTGTCAGAGGATCATGGAAAATAACCCACGGAACTAGGAGGCATAGCATTACGAAAGCAACAAACTTTAAACAAACTAGAACCCAGATTTTAAACTAAAGGATAGACACCAACCCAGTAATACCACATTGAAAGTCACCATCACAGATGGTTAAAGGGAAACAATTCATCTGAAGTAGCATCCTCAGCAAACGGCAAGTAATTGATATCAGGTCTAGCCTATGAAAGTAAGAAGAACTGGAAGCCAGACTGAAGCGACAATAACAATGTTGGGAAACAAACCGCAACAAGTGCAACGGGCAGCCGAGGGTTAGAATGATCTCCGGCGAGCTCAGCTAATTGGGGGTTCGAAAGGTAAAGTCGGGAAGGAGAAGTAGGGGAGACGAAGAAGAGTAATTTGTTAGGGTGGTTTCCGCTTGATCCTCTCGTTGGGAATGTCAGGGGAAAGAAACAAACTCGAAGAAAGAAGGGAGAATTAAACGAAGTCGACGAGAGGATTGCCGGATCTGGGGGGAAGCGATTCAGAGGGAAATTTTTGGTGCCTGGACCCCCAAAGCAAAAGGCAATGCCCGAGATCACTAATTCCTTTTTCCGTCTCTCGCTTTTGGTGGGGGGGTGTCCATTCCCTTTCATTTATTAATTAATAATTTCTGTTGTTGTAGAAAATAATGTTTTCTTTGGCAAAAAAAAAAAATAATAATAATAATATTGTTGTTGTTGCATTAAATCGAAAAGAATAGGCAAAATTCCGAAAAAAGAATTGGCAAAATACTTCATAACTATGAATTTTGTAACAAAAAAATATGAGAGCGACGGTTACTACACAAAATCAAAGCTATAAAAACTCTAAAAAATTCAAAGCTCATCCGTGCGATCATAGCAGATCTGATAACTCATATTAATCCGGAACAAAAAAAAAATGAAGGGATTAGAGATGGACTGGTCATTCTACCACCTCTAAATTTTTTTCTTGAGAGTTTGACACGAATCAGAAATTGAAGCATATAATATGTCATCTCCATATATTTGTATATTGTTCCGCGTGGGAGTAAATGAAGAAGTTTAGAACTTATTAATTGAATTTTTGACAAAGTGTATTTACGTACCACCAGTCCACCACCTCACAAGGCCGAACTGAATTTGATTGGGCCAAAATTATCAGATGGCAGTTGGGCCTTCATTAGCTAGCGCAATAAAAAGGAAAAGACCAATTAGATTAGAATGGGCTGGGCTACTCCTGCGGCGCCATGACTTGCAAGCAGTCAAAAGGAGTAAAGAGTAAAGACTGGCGAAGTCTGATACTGATTTCACCACCGGAAAAGCACAGAAATCGCAGAAACTAATTCAAGAGAAGTGCTCTGAAAATGGCTGCGGCAACCAACTTAGCAGCATCCAAAGTTGCGGTGGCCCGGCCGGTGACTTTTGTTACCGGCAACGCCAAGAAGCTGGAAGAAGTTCGCGCCATTCTCGGCCAATCGATTCCATTTCAGTCCCTCAAGCTCGACCGTACTTCCCTAACGCCCCCCTCTTGCGCCCCATCTCTCTCTGGCTTTCTTTTGCTGAAAATCGGAACGCCGAAGAATTAACGATTACGGGTTGTTGGGTGGTTTTATTTATTTGCGGTGTTTGCAGTACCGGAGCTGCAAGGAGAGCCCGAAGATATCTCCAAGGAGAAAGCTCGATTGGCTGCCCTCAAGGTAATGCCTAAACCACCAACAGGGGTTATTGTGTAATCGCCATTGTTATGGGTACTGAGATTCTGAAGCGTCGTCTCTTTTGCGGTGAAGGTGAAAGGACCCGTCTTGGTGGAGGACACATGTCTTTGCTTCAATGCTCTCAAGGGTCTCCCTGGTATAAGCTCGATTCCTTCGCATTTTGGGTCATTCCTTTTGAATTTGATGTTTTGTCTGAGAATCGGAATTTGATTGGCTTTATTCCGTTCTTGCAGGGCCGTACATGTAAGCCTGCTTCTTTCTTACCGGCATTTGTTTAGGTGAAGTCATATTCGTGTTCTTCATTTCAAATGAATTGTGACATTGTGTTGGTTTGTCCTTGCTTGAGTGGTGCTGTAGATTGGTAATTAGTGGTTAAAGCTAAGGGGGTAGTTGCTATTACATTTTACTTTGATAATGATATTGGTAAGGTTGACTGAGGAACTTGAGAGCGAAGGTGCTTTTCGTATCGATAATCTTAAGGAAACATTCACTGTGTTTTGAGTACATTCAGGCCTCTATGACTATGATACTTGACTATTCTTCAGACTTCAGCTGTTCACTTACTTTATTTCCCTCTCCCATCTGGTTTCTAATAATCTAATGTGTTTTTGCATCTGGCAGTAAGTGGTTTCTGCAGAAGATCGGGCATGAAGGTTGTAATTCTTACCGCTTTCCCTAAGTTTTCATCTTGGTTGGTTTGTTCTTATAACCAATCACTTAGCCTCGAGTTTTTTCTTTTCTTTCTTCAACTTTCTAGGTCTAAATAACATGTTGATGGCATATGAGGATAAGTCTGCATACGCTTTATGTGCATTCTCTTTTGCACTCGGACCAGACGTGGAACCTATAACATTTGTTGGGAAAACCCCGGTATGCTGTCTTTGTGTTATGTTATTGGTTTCTTCGAATCATGTTTGGATGGGTTTTCTATGCTCTGATAATAAGCCTTGCCAGAAAGTTAACATTAGCAGCATATCATGTCTAGTTCACATGATCTTAACTCTATTGAACACATTAATGTTAGGGAAAGATTGTTCCTGCAAGGGGACCGACTGATTTCGGATGGGATCCGATATTCCAACCTGATGGCTTTGAGCAAACGTGAGTTGAACCTCTTTTATACTTCCGTTTAGCCTTCTTATACACATTCAGCATGTAAAAGAAATATGGGGTGACTTCTTCTGGTGCAAATAGATATGCAGAGATGGCTAAGGAAGAGAAGAATAAAATATCTCATCGGTACAGGGCTCTTGCCATGGTGAAAGACCACTTTTCTGAAGCTGGCTATGTGTTTGATACAGATGCCTCAACAAAAAGTATAAGACATTATACCAATCTTAGCACCTTCTCTTAACCTAAGCGCTCTATTTGGCAAGTTGATTGATTCATATCCTCCTGGTTTGAATTTGCTTGCTGGTGTGTCAGGGAAAAGGGAGGGGAAGGATGTCGCGAAGAACGGAGACGAGAATGGTGCCAACTGAAGTCCTAGAAAGGAAGGAAGGAAGGAGAGGAGGAACGGTAAGGTGTTTGTTAGTTAGTTAGTTAGGAGCCTTTTTTGGTACACCATCGAGTAGGGCAAAGTGGAAGCTGCTGCTTTATATCTCTGCTTCCAATGAGAGAGGTGATCAAGCTGGCCGGTTGGTTTGAGTTCTGCTACTTATATCGGAAGTTAAGAGGGATCATGGTGTATGGGCAAATTAACCACATGTTTGGTAATTGTTACTCTATAATATGATGAACTAGAAGCAACAACAACCTCATGGTCTTCCCTTCTGAAGAGCAAATACCAAAGGCCCAATCGAAGGATAAGCACTTTTTTTTTTATCAATGGGTGGCACTGTTTCAAACCGATGAAAAATTATATAGTAATAATTTGGGTAATGAGATTTATTAGCCAAATTTTTTTTAGATTTTTTTTTATTAGTCAAACTTATCAAAATACTAATAATTAGTCAAATGTTAACTTTCAGTTGGCAATTTTGTTAGTAATATTATTTGGGCAACATGATACTGACTTAGAACAGACACATGAAGGTTAATTTTCAAAATTTTAGTATTTAACTAACAAAAGAGTTACAAAATTATTAATGATAACGCTAAAATGGCTAATATTTTGATGCATTACGAAAGATTTGGCTAATTAATAATATTTTAATAGGTTTGGATAATATAAAATAATTTGAAAAAGTTTGGATAAAAAATAGGCATTACCCTAATAATTTTAACCATTAGTATTGGATTAATTGATTTCATTTGGTTAAAATTGTTACCAAATTGATTTAGGGTGTGTTTGAATAGAGTGATTTGGATTTTTAAATGTCAAAGCATTTGTTTGGTTATTACTTACATTTGGTATTTGGATTGTGCTAAATCCTGCCATCTATCGCGACGAAGCCTCTTCGTCGCCAAATCCAACCCATGTCGCCGCCGCCAGCCCTCTTCGTCGGCTTCCCTCATCGCCTGCCATTTATCGCGGCGAAGCCTCTTCGTCGCAAACCCATCGAGAGGAAGCAATCGTGTCATCTGCTAAAGGGGGGAGGGGGGGGGGGAGTTCAGCGGGTTCTTCGAGTTCTACTAACAGACCCATCGAGAGGTGCAAGCACAATGTTCCATGTATTGTGCAGATGTCGAGAATAAAGGACAATTCGGGGAGAATGTTTTATTCCTGCCCGTATTGACAGGTATGGTTTTCGATAAGTCTCAATTTGTTGCCGAAATGGTATTCTTCTTTAAATTTAATCAAGTTCCTTCATGTAGGATGCTAAGAAAGGTTGTCGTCATTTTAAGTGGTGTGATCGGAGAATATCAGCAAATTCAAGTGTGCTTGAATCTTTTATGGAGGAGAATGCGCTGTTGAAATCGAGAATCTGTGAGATGGAAGCTGAGATTGTCACTTTAACTCAAGGATTTGAATGTCGTATTAGTGATGTTGAAGAGAAGGTTGAGAAGAGGAAGAAAAAAAGTTTGATATGGCCGAAGAGTTTGAAAGAATTTATGCTACAAGTGCTCGCAGCTGTCTTGAATTGGAGAATTTGGGGCATACTGTTTGTAAACTTTAGAGTAGGGTGAATCATTGTTATATCGGTATTAGTTTGTTGTGTGTTTTGTACTCTATCAGTTGGCTCCTACGTGGGTAAAACGTGTGTAATGCAGTAATGCAGCTAGTTTGATGGTAGTAGTTGTCGAGTTAGCTTGTAATGCAGTGAAGTTCAACTTTTTTAGATTGTAATGCATTGAAGTTCTAGTTTGTTAGATTGTAATGCATTGAAGCTAAAGTTTGTTTGCTTGTAATCCAGTGAAGATGTAGTTTGTTTGCTTGTGGATATCATAACCTGGAAACAAGTTCATGAACACAAACGCACACTTTCGTAACCTGAATTCAGCATGAACACAAGTTCATAACATGGAAACAACTTCTATATCCTGGAAACAAGTTCATGAACACAACTACACAGGTTAATGTCTAAAAATAGCATAAACCATGTTCCATAATCTGAAAAGAGCATAAACCATTCCATACGCAAGTCTAGACATTCCCTAACACATGCTTATTACATGTTCAAAATACAAAAGAAGGGAGATGTCATCTTCTTGGTTCATCATATCCACCCTTGCTTGTTTACTGTGTCTCGGGTTGAGTCGATGGAGGTTGAGTACTGTTCATGGGCGGATGATCTGGTTCATTTAGTTCCCTCCGACCTCCTTGTTGTGGGTCTCTAGTACTCATCTGCAATATCAGGCAACAATTAGCATTATTTTCACATAAGAAGGCAATCTTCAGGCCACATCGAGTGTTAAAAGTGAGCAGCTAACCCGAGAATACATGTTTCCAGAAGTAGGATCAATGTAAATGCTGATTCCTTGTGCAGCCCTCCGCACTTCCCGTTCCATCTGTTGCCTGCTACAAGTGCCCATTCTTTCGATCTGTAAGAAAAAAGTGAAGACATAATAAGTTGCATTCATTCACAAATCTGCATGTTATAATGACCAACAGAAATCTTACCTGAACTCCAACCCTCAACGGACAAGTCTTCGAGTTGTGATTAGTTGCCCCACATCTAGAACACTTAGGCCTTTTTCTAACTCTCTCCTAAAAGACAATTAAATTCAGATCTACCTATTCTATTAACAAATGAAATTTGAGAAGCATCGTACGAATTGACTTACCCCATTGTTAGGTGCAGCCGATGCATTCTGTGGGGCAGCACCTCCTCCCTTCTTTTCCCCTCGTTTCTGCCTTTTACTAGCCGGAGGAGCTGGCTGTGGTGCCGGTGGATTTGTGCAACTCCTCTTGTTATGGCCTTCACCCCCACACCTGGAGCAATGGACTATATTGTTATGCCTTGTAGCAACCACACCAGCACCATTTTTAGCACTCTTCATGAGCAACTCGGCAGCCTCCTTTCTTCGGTTTCTCTTTGGGTGGCCAGGCAGTTTCCTTATCTTTGGAGGGTAGATCTTGTACCCATCCGCTGCCAGCCAAGCTTGAGGTCCTTCTGAAGCTGGAATTGGATACTTATATGAATTTTTCACATAATCCAGTTGAAACTACCGATGCACATACGCCTCAGGATGAAATCTCATAGAACGAATGGCTGAAACAGCGTGGCAGCAAGGAATGTCATAAAGTCCCCAATATCCACATGTGCAAATAGCAGTCTGCAAATCAACAACATACCCTTTCCCATGTATCTGCACCTCATGTTTGTGAGCTGAAGATGGCCGACTAGTACACAACCTAGCTTCATCCTTATGTTTTTCGAGCTTACTCTTTACAACTGGAGGAAATGTCCCTCTACAGCGACCCATTTTCCTTTTGTTGCTCACCAAACGAGTCATCACAGCCACCCTGATTCCTAGATCCAGGGTCTACAAACAACTGATCAACTTCTTCTCCAGATCCAGTCTCCCCAATCCTAGACCGCTGTAGCATGCGACGATAACTAGGGATGGCAATGGGCCGGGTTGGGCCGGGTTTTGTCAAACCCAAACCAATGGGTTTATCCGCCAAAAAAACCCGGGGTAAAACCCGCTGGGTTTGAAAAACTCAAACCCAACCCAACCCGCTGGGTATCCGCGGGTTCATGGGTACCCGTGGGTTTTTGTGGTAAAAATTTACAATAACAAGTTTCTTTCAAAATAAAAGTTTAACATTAATTTTCTCATACAAATTATTCATACAAAAAACACCAATCTAGAGCATACAAGCAAACCGCAAATGTTCAATACAAATTGTTCAAAATTAAAGATAAACATCTATAAACAATAAGATTAATTGAAAACTTCTTACTCGTCAACTAAGTTTCTTCACTCTCCACTTCATAATATCAACTTCATTCTAAATAATTAGAAACAACAAATTATATATGTCTCCACAAACATAAAGAATATTCATTGTTTAAGGAAGATATATTATTTAGAGTATTAAATATACCGGGAAAGTAATTATATGTGTGTGGGCGGGTACCCATGGGGCGGGTTTACCTAAACCCAAACCCAACCCGACCCGGTGAATAGTGTAGCGGGTTTAAACCCGAACCCGGTCCAAAACCCGTCAACACGGGTTTTACCCGCGTTGACCGGGTTGGGTCGGGTGGGTACCCATGGGTTCGGATTTTGTTGCCATCCCTAACGATAACAGGCCCGAATTTCATGTTATTCCTCATCCGACGTTTGAGCCTCCTCTTCATCTAACCGGACGAACTCGGCTACGGCAGGGTTATCACCCTCCTCATCTTCAACCTCCTCGCTATGCCCATAGTTGTCTCCCATCTCATGAATGAACATAGTTGCTTCAAAAAAAAGACACCTCTCCTAGCTCGGCATCCACAAGTAGACCATTAATAACGTCAGCATCAGTGCGTATCTCATGCAACCCATGTTCCATACTTTGTCCCGGAGTCAAATACCACACCCTTTCCACCGACGAATACTCTAAATCCTCTATCAATGTACTCACCAACTCAAAATATGACAATTGATCAACAAGCAGTTGAACTCGGTCGACATCCCCTCCAACATATATCGGTACCTCAGTAGCTGTATCCATCATTCCCCCATGATGAAATAACAATTCGATACTCATCCTGAAAAATTGGGCAAAAAATGGGTCATTTAGTGTTCAAAAACCCGTGTTTATTGACTCCACGTGACTCACGAAACACAAACACATACAAACAAGCACTTTAGAATTCTTAACCGAGTTCTCAGAATCCCTAAACAGAAAAGGAACAGAAACGAACATTGTTTATTCACATACAAACAAGCACTTTAGTATTCTTTACCGAGTTCTCAGAATCCCTAAACAGAAAAGAAACAAAAAGGGACATTGTTTATTCACTTCTGCACTTTCCCAAATTCGATTCCAATAAGATAAAGTGTAGAAAACGACATTCAGAACATTACCTGTTTCAGCTCAAAAGCTAATTTCGTATATGAAGTGGTTCCTTGCTCGACTGATTGCCACAAGAAAAATACTGCACGGAGGACCAGTTTATCGCAGGCGGAAGACAGGAGAGGAAAAAGGCTGATCGATGGTGAAGAAACGAATCCCGTCGCCGTGAAGATATGATGCTCGTGACCGGCAAAGACGAGAAAAGTAACGCGGCGCGACCAAGAAAGGGTCGGCCCGCCGCGCACTCGATTCTGATCGACGGTAACTCGATCGGGCTGGGTGAGGAGGCAATGATGAAGGGAAAGTAAGGGGATAAGGACGGAAGGTCAAGATTCGGGCCAACGAAGAGGAGAATCGAGTGCCATGCACTCCGATTTGGGTCGGATTCCGTTTCTGGAGAAGATCGGAGAAGGGGATACGAACGGGTGGGGTTTCACAGGAAGAAGAAGGTCGAATGAAAGGGATGGGTAAGTGTTTGGTGGACCTGGTGTCTACCTTTCCCTTTTAGTTTTGTTATTATTTTTTTTAACTTAATGACTTAGAAATGTTCATAAAAAAGGAAATAACAATAAATGACGTGGACAAGCCACGTCAGAGTCGAATGCTGAGTCAGCAACGGAGAAAATTATTGACCGTCAAATCATACAGTCAACCCGTCCCACAGGCCAAGTTTGTCCGATAATTTCATAAGTGGGCCAGAAATGTCTTATTTGAAAAATGAGGCTTCGTGCCAAACGAGGGTATTAACCCTAATAGAATAGATAACTTAGTCTAACTAGTGGAAAGATCAAGTCTGATTAGTTGAAGAAAAGTCAAGAGAAATATAAATAGATAGTGTAAGAAAATATGACAAAATGAATACAAAACGATGCGGGACAGGATGGGTTCGAAGTATGCCTCGTCCCAAACTATTGCGGGTTGGATAGTAGCCACCCCATCACGGATCGAATAATACCCAATAGGAAAGGTTCAAATTATCATCCTACTAACATGTCTAAATTTCAGAACCTGAGGGACACTTAATCCCCCTTCTGCAAATTTCCGTTGGCAATAGTCCACTGCATCTAGTCATCCTTCTCCGGCAAATCCTGTTGAATGTGTAATCATTCGCCAACATGATCTAAAAGTTAACGTTGATCCACAATGGTAGAAAGTTCAGCATTATTTCAGAAATTCACCAATATGTTTATAAAGTGGAAAATGGAAAAAGATCAACTGAAATATATAAACAATAAAACCTAAATGTTAAGGTTTGAAACTTGAAAGTAATAATCAACTAATAAGAATTGAGACTGAGAGACGACCTAAATGAAATGAAAAGAAAAGAGTGGTAAAATCAAAAATGCCGATCGAGGAGGAGGACTGAAATTGGATTCCAAATCCAAATGGCTAGAAGACAAAGCAGCACGGCAACAGAACAGCAGAGTTGGGGTGTGGCAGCTTTTCAAAGCTTGTTGTGCCGCATAATACGTGGCTCTTTCCAGCATCGGTTTCTCTGCATACAATTAATTTTCTCAACTCCCCAACCCTAAATCCTAATAAAACGCCCAAACATCTTTTGCATGTAATGCCACATTTTTTCTTTGCCACCTACTACCAGTACTGCTAATCCATCATAGCATAGGTTCGATAAAATTCATCCATACATTTCTTCGGGTTGAGTTGGGTGAATGGCATATGGGTGCAGTTGGGTTGTGATCAGTCCGCAAATGCAAATTTTTCAATTAATAGTTAGGCAAGTTGACTAACATTTATAATAAATTCTTCGTAAATTAGTAAGATTGTATCAGTTTAGACACATTTTCCTATAGAGACGTCTAGTACTTGTATCCAATTTTTCATTACTCCATTAACCAATTATGTAAAAAAAAAATTCACTTTTTTTTTGCGACTTGCATACCATTAATATTTTATAATTTGCTTCTCCATATCTAACGGGTATTACACAACATAGTGACCAATAAGTAGTAAAAAGTGAAACTCAGCTCAAAACGCGTACTATTGAGTAAATAAAAGTTTGTTTTTCAAATTGGACTGGATGATGAACTAAAAAATGAGTAATTTATGGTTCAATTGTTACTCGTGATAAACCCATTGCTGAATTATTTAAATAACAATTTATAATTGTAAATGAGAAGACATATATAAATATAATTTACTAATTAGGGTAGACAAAGAAGGCAGAGATGTAAATAAAGAATGAGAGATAAAAGGACAACTGAGGAAGTAACAAAACTCATTATGGCATTATTTAGTTTATAATTTTTTTTGTTTTCCATAATATTGTTTTTTTGTTTTGACAAAGTATTCAACCAGGGAACTGATTAGATCATAGCGAGATTTGAAGTTCAATGTATAATTGATCAATCATAAAACCAAAATAACTTTGTAATTGGTTCACGAATTTCTTCTATCAAATAAATATGTGCGCTACCGTAATCAAAACCTAAAAATAGTTTAGGTGACAGCAGTGCAAATTAGCATTACTCTTAGTCAATAGTAAAATGGCTTTAGGTTTATATATTTTAATTAATAAGAAGCCACTATCTATAATCCTTTGCTCTCAGTTTCCGGTAAACCACAAAAAGATCTTAAGTTCATAACTATCTTTTACACTTACATAGTTTTTCGATAATGGTTATGATATGTTATGAAGAGGTCAACTACATAAACCGTGGAGAATTTTTGAACAACAAAGACACAATTCAGGTAAGCAGCAGCCTGCCTCTCTTCTTGCACACCGCCCTTTTTGTTTCTTCATGCAAAAGAATACAAACCCACTCTTTTAGCTCTATTATTGAACACACTATATTTTTATAATTATTCTACCCATTAAATAAAACAGGGTATAGCCCATTAAACAACAAGCAGAACCCAACAAGATCACGGCATTTTGAAGCAGCTCTGTGCTTCTTCTTCTTCTTCTTCTACCTGTAGCTGCTGCATGCTTCCGGCCAACCTCTTTTTCCGACCAGCGTGCTTTGCTATCGGTAACGACGCAGCAGCATTTGTCTCTATATGCTTTTTCCGCTCTCAGTCTCATGTCACGACGGGACAGAAAGTTATCAACCGGAGGAAGTAGCCGTTTCATGAAATAGTGCCCTTTACTTATATTAGTTATTAGGGTAAATGTCCCCTAAAAAAACGTTATTAGGGTAAATGACATATTTAGTCACTGAGATTACTAAATTGTATCATGTTTAGTAAAAAAAAAAAAATTTATTATCAATTTTGGTCACTCGAATTATTGAAACATGTTACATTTAGTCACTCTCACGTTAGCCTCCGTCCAACTCCGGTCACTCGAATTACTGAAACGTGTCACATTTAGTCACTCGAATTACTGAAACAAGTCACATTTTGGACGGAAACTAACGGGAGAGTGACTAAATGTGACCCGTTTCGGTAATTTAGGTGACCAAAAATTGATATTAAAATTTTCTAGTGACTAAACATAACACGATTTAGTCTTCTCAGTGACCAAATGTGACATTTACCCTTAGTTATTACTAGTGTCCAAAACTAAACTCTAAACTTAAATTATGCTATGCCCATGGAGTCATGGACGTACATCATCCCAAAAGATATCAACTTCTTCAATCTTTTTCTTTATGTGTAGCAAGTAGGGATTGTAATTTGAGCAGATCAGTTGAGCTGATTAGTTCGTCCTCTTCGAGGTTGGTATCACCCATTCTGTAATAGAATGATTAGTTTGTACCGATATTTAATTGCATTTATTATTTTTATCATATTTAACCTTTCTTACGTATTGATTGACCTATTTTTTTTTATGATTAATGAGGAAGAAGGAAGAACTAGGGAAATTTGGATGGAGTGAAGGGAGAAATGATTTATCTTGCAAATCTTTCATTTCCCAATAATAATAAAAACAAGTGTCAGTTAATTTATTACCACATGCATTAGTTTTTTTTTATTTTTATTCGATTATATAAAAAAAATGAATGAGGGGATGGCCTCTGTCTGGCAAAATATAAAGCTCTGGAATTTATGTCTGATATATTTAATGATGACTTTTTGTTTTGTACTGAATTAACTATTTACATGTATATAGGATATCAATTCATAGCTAGCTAGAGACATATATATCATACCAGAACCAAATTTCCCTTGTTTATATATTTTTGGTGGGAAGATATGCATTTTCTTGCATTTGGGATTTTGGAAGAAAGTGAGAGACAGATTGAGACAGTAATCAATATAATGAATAAATAGATAATCCATTTGTTTTTTTTTTTTGTTAAATTCCTAAAAGCAGTGAAGGACACTATGAAGCTAGTAAAACAGTAAGGAGCTTTTAGGGTAGCTAGATGTAGAAAGGTAAGGCAAAAGGGCAAAGAAATAGAGAGACATGGGATGATGCAACTTCTCTGTCAAATACACAATAGATATAATAGTAGAGATATGTGTCAATAGATTTTAGAAAAGCAAGATCTTCTTCTTACCATATGAAGAAAAAGACCAAATCCCATTAGAAAAAAAAAATTACCCAAATTCTTGCTTCCCCTCCCACTGACTTACTCCAAATTAATGCACAACAACATGCAAGAAAGAAAGCAAAAGGCCCCTATTTTTTTACTGAAAAGAAGAAAGCCTTTCTGGCTTGGGTTTGACTTATTTCCACTGTTCTCCATTGTCACTTCAACAAGACAACAACACTACTGTCTACTACTGCAGATGCACACAAACAGGCCATTACCCAACATTTTATATGATTAAACTAAGAGCTCCTCAGTTTTTCTGTACATTAATCATGATCATTCATACATAATTAGCCCATCATGATTACATAACGATGATCATGATAATGATCCAATGGAATTAACAAAAAAATCAATAATCTCTCAAGTCTCAACAGCCCAAAAAGGGATATTGCAGCACCTATGTGGAAAATGAAACTACCAAAATACCCTCGTTTTCCCCTCGACAAAGATTACAAGCTATCACACGGCGAGTTTCTCCCGGGAAATGATGAGGAAAACGTGGGTATTTTGGACAAAATATTGCACAAACAACAACCTAACAATCGGCCAAAACCTGCTGATAAAAAAAAAGGGAGGAAATTGAGCAAACTTTTTTTCTTTCTCAATCAGTTGTGGAGAGGATCAGGGCAGCTGGGTACTTTTCGTTTGCTCTCCTCAAAACCTCCTCCGCCGGCGACATCGGCGGCTGCGCTGATAACATCGGCTGAACCAGAAGACGGTGTCGGAGGCGCACTGAATGAGCGACCGAAATGCTCCCTATTGCTCACATAATTATCCTTACTACTGCCTCTGCTGCTACTATGCTGGTCGGAATGTTGGCCGGCGGCTTCACGAGGCGTCTTCACCAACGTTGCCGGAGACGCGCCGCCGTCCCGGGGCAGAATCCTGGTGGCGGTTGCTCTGCTGCTGGTGCTGAAAGCCCAAATCTGAAGCAGTAGCATGATTACTACAAAAACCAGTGACCTCCTGCTGCTGATGGTGGTGGTGGGTCGAGACGGCGGCGGCGGCATTTCGCCTCACTAACCCTCATAAACGGAAGAAGCTACGATCCCCCAGAGGATTACTCTACCACATTCCCACGCCGGAACCAAACTCCGGCGGTTTCCCAGGAGGAGGAGGAGGAGGAGGAGTAACTGCTTTCTGCTGGTTAAGCTAGCTAACGGTGATGCTGATGATGTGAAGAGATTGATAAGGCGTGTGCTGAGAAGTGAGAAGGAGAGACAGTGACGGTGAGAGAGAGAGAGAGAGAGAGAGAGAGAGAGGGAGGTAGAAGAATGAAAAGGAGGAAGAAGAGCGGGCAAGGTAGATGGTGCCTTCATTCATTCATTCCCTATATTTGGCCCGGCTTTTAGAAGTATTTTTCGGGTTAAAAAACAGAAGCAGGCCAAACACCTGTAAAAGCTCGGATTTTGAAAAGCCAAAAAACGCTTTTGTAACATAAAAGTTGTTTTGAAAATACAATATTATCCTTACTATATTTTAAATTTATTTCAGAAAATATGATTTTCCTTCATTTATATCATTTTAAAATAAAATAAATTATAAAATCATATTATTTAAAAGAAATCTAACAAGATTCATTTTGACTACTTTTTATTGTTTAGAATTTTTATTTTTATTTTATATTATAAGTCATTCATAGTTATTTTACACAATCTCTCACATTAAAAAGCACTTTTAATAATTGTACAGCCAAATACTCAACTTTTTTTATTTTGAAAAGTACTTATCTAAAAGTTTCAGCCAGAAGCTACTTCTGCAAAAGCTACAGCAGGGCCAAACTAAGCTATTAAACCTCTCCTCTCCTGGCCAACGTAATGAGAGAAAAATAAAAAAAATTACTGCCAGAGGAGAAAGGAAAGGACATCCGAAACATTAGTGATATAAAAAATTAATAAATTAATAAATTAATAAATATGATTGATCGGGTCTAGATCCTCGCGACGACAACTCGACACAAACCATCTCCCTGTAACACTTCTCCATGGATTTCGTATCTTGCAGCGGAAGCTCGACACAAACCCCATCCTCGCCGCCCGAAAGCCATCCTGGACTTGGATCCATATCCTCTCGCAGACTCCAACGCCACGACTACGCTTCTCGGCTCGTCGCCTCCTCTATCAATGGAATTCCCCCCCCCCCCCCCAATTTCAGGTCCCATTCCAAGGAGGTCCTCCGCAGTGGTGCAGTCCTCGACGCATCCGGCACCGCCATGACCACCTCCGACGATGGGGGAGTTCAGCACTGTGTGGTGGTGGTGAGGGTCACGACTGCTTCTTGATTTTCCCATAGACGAAAACATTTTAAGATCTGGGGATTCCTTGATAAGCCAAACCGATGGAGGTCGCAAGGAGTCAGGCAACAGAGATTCAAATCACCTGCATCCGTCAGAACCCATATTAGGGGAAACAGTGCGGGAGAGGCAGACAGAGAATCGGAGGGCGATTGTAGAATTGAGGTCGACGACAACGATGCAGGTGAGACCAGTGCTCTGCCTTATGGCCTGCGATTTGCTCGGGTAATTGGTGGGAATAAGGTTGTGGGTTGCTGGGATGGAGATGATGTCGAAGCCGGCGGCGATTTAGGGTTGTGGGTTGCTGGGATGAAGATGATGTTGATGGCGGCGACTATATATATACACACCGCTTCTACGGTACCCCAAGTGAAATCCGGGGTACCGCATATCTTGAGTATTAAAACACTATCTAGACCACGAATTAGCAGGATTTTTAGGCATGATACTATACCCTAATCTTTAATGAGTGAACCCTTGGTCCTAGTTATCTAGATAATAAACTATAAACCCTACGATGGTGCATTCAAATTTTTTTTGCTTATATTTGAATGAATCATAATTGTCGATTATTGTTTCTAATTAAATTGATCTTAGGGTATAAGATTAGAGAGTTAAGACCTAAATTTTGATCTTTAAGGGTTAACGTATAGTATCATGTCCGAAAGATCAGTCAATTCAAGTTCTAGATAGCGTTTTCATACTCAAGGTATGCGGTACCCCAAATTTTATCCTAGGTACCGTAGAACTCCCCACATATCTATGGCAAAGGCTAGCACACGTCAGGCATATGAAGGTAATGACTGGTATACTCCAGGTCCAGGAGTATAGTATACTCCAAGTGATCTGGCTGTTAGATCTCCTTTTTTGAGTTTCGGCCAATCTCAACGGTCAATTAATATTTTTTATTAAATTGAACTTCTGGTTTGAGTTTAGAGAATCGGGGGCTGGAGTTTATCCATTAGAGGTTAGAGTATAGTATCATACTACAAACTCGATTTAATTCATGGTCTAGATAGATATATCTCGATAAAAATACCTGTAGTATATTTTGTTAATACACATGTCCGACGAAAAATCGCCAGGTCAGCATTTCCGTCAGTACAATCAGACTGTTAAGTAACACAGTCAGAGAGATGGACGGAATTGGCTATTTTGTGGTTTCCAATAGTTATGGCTATATTTGTAACAAACGTGAAAGTTATGGCTATGGAAGTGTATTTTGCCAAAAATCAAAGCAAAATCTTCCCTTGGCGCACAAAATTGAAGACGACATGGTGATGGCAGCCACACTACGTACTGAATTGGATAAGAAAGAAGAACAAAATCCCTTTCAAGAAGAAGCACCCCTTGGTAGTCTGATTGTACTGACAATTTTTAACTCACCCGTTAGAAACAAGGTTTCTAACGTGCTTGGGAATCGGGGAAATTAGCTAGATCAATTAGGGATTGATCTAACTAGGGATTAGGAGATGGGAGTTTGAGAACAAGAAGGGGAAAAGAGAGGTAAGCTGCTGCCGCAGCTTTGGAGGGAAGAAAGAGGGGAAGTCGGCGCAGGAGAGAGAGAGAGAATAAGATTAGGATTTAGGTTTTTAGTTCTGTAATTGCTTAATGAAAAATAATACCCTAGTACAGATTATATAATCCGCCTAATCCCTATAAACTACCCAACTAATGAAACATAACAATCGACTCTCTGTTTATTCCCAAATACCCCAAATAATACCCCTAACCTTAAAAAACCGACAATAATCCGAATTAATAAAAAAACGACAATTAATGTGTTTCCCACATCCCTGCTTCCTTCGAAAAACAACCTTGTCCCCAAGGTTGTTCCTCTAGCTCACTAGGCCTCCTCGCCATTTTCGCCGTCCTCGACCTCATCTTCTGCTTCATCTTCCCAGCGCCCGACTAACATCATCAAATCCGGCTTCGGGCACTGATGCCCGATGGTGAACCGGCCATCACAGTTGAAGCACTTGCCTTCCCGCCTCTTCTGTTCAATCTCAGCCTGCGACAGTCGCAGGAACCCTTTCGGTATGGCCCGCGGTCCCAGCCTGGCCACCGGAGCAGGACCTCCACTGCTCACGTTAGCCCCAGTCGAGCCTCCTCCTGGCGCCCCTCCTGTGCCGCCACTGCTCCCGCTGCTTCCTCCTCCTCCACGACTTCGAGAAGCGGCCAATGGTGCTCCTCCAGCTAGCCAGTTCTTCCTCCTTATGACCTGCAAGACGAAAAGCAATTTTCAAGGAATCGGGCTCGAACACTCTGACGGCCGCTGCTATTTCGGGCTTGAGACCCGCCATGCACAGCCCCACCAAGGTGTCCTCCGAGACACCTTTACACTGGTTCCCCAACTTGAAGAACTCCGCACGGTATTCAGCCACCGTGTCGGTCTGCTTCAGCTTCGCCAACTGCTCAGGAGCCTACCCGTCAGACTTTCCAAACTGATAACGGAGCTCCTCCTGAAACATGGGCCAAGTAATCAAAGTTGTTGCGGCTGCGTAGGATCTCTCCATCCACTCCCACCACTTGAGCGCATCTCCCTCCAAATAGAACGATGCTAGATAGGCCTTCCTCTCTTCCGGAATTGGGTGGTTCTTAAACCACATCTCAACTGCATACAACCAAAGGCCTGCATCCTCTTGCCCATTGAATTTTGGAAACTCAATGGTAGGAGGCTTAGCTCGAAAAACTACTCCATCCATTCCTTCACAGTTCATATAGTGGGACCCATACCTGTCATTTCCTGGGGTCCTCCACGGCTGCCCAAATGGAGCTCCCTGCATCTGGCTTAGGTTCCCGTGCCCATAATCACCCGGGTAGCTCCCTTGTTGGTTCGGGTACCCTCCTGGAGCGTGAGGTGCCTCGTAAGGTCCCTCCCAGCCTACTGGTCTCCTGCTGTCCACCCTCCTGATCGGTTGAGAAGTAGGGCTCGGTCGATGCCCGGTTCGACCCACCTCCGGTTGACCCGTTCCGGTCCAACCCGGTCCGGTTCGGCTGGACCCGCTCTTGCCCAGTCCGCTACGGTCCGCCCCCTTGGAGCCGACCCTCCCTGCCCCATCTGGTCACCGGCCCTCCTCGGCACACCCGACCCCCTTAGGTCCAACTCCGGTTCGGCCCACTGGGCCTACTAATCCGCCAGGCTCAGTTTGTCATACTCGGGCCCATCTTCCAGATCCAACCATCCCAGCCCGTTATGGACCTTCGTGTAGTGGCCCAACGGTGCCGGCCCATTACCCATAGGCGGCCCGTCTGTGTCATACCCGAGCATCTTAGCCTTTCCCTTCCGGGCCGCAATCTCTTGGGCCGTAAGCGTCGGTAACAGACCCGAGCCCAACCCTACTGCAGTTCGATCAGCTCTGCCTGGTCCGGTATCCGCCGCCCTGCTTCCTTCGGCCGTCGCGATCGACGCATCGGCCTGAGCCGCCGCCGCCCTTGCCGCGCTAGCCCCGCCGCCGACCTTCGCGAGAGCCGCACCCACCTGCGCCGCCGGCGCCGTCGTGGTCCCGCCGGCAGCCGCCCCGCCATCCGCGGTCGCCGCCGTCTCCGCAGCCCCCCGCCGCGCCGCCTCCTTCGATCGCCGACTTAGCCGGAATCGGCGCTCCCCCTGATCCATCTCCCTTTGCCTAAGCGAGGCAATCGCCCGCATCAGGTCCTCCAGCCTCTGTCGCAAATCATCAGCATCCGCCTTCGCGTCAGCCTGCACCCTTGCCAGGCCTTCTTCGAGCCGAGCCAGCGCATCAGAGTGCTCGTGCACCACCAGTTTCACCGCCTCCAGCTCGGTGACGTCCTCCATCACCACCCCGTCGAGATCAACATCGCTCGCCTCGGTGTTCCTCTCGGCTGCCTGAGATGCCTTCTCCGCTGCCTTCATGGATTTCGTCGACACCATTGTTGTTTGCCCTGGTTCGAGAGCTCAAGAACTCACTCTCGAACCTTGCTATGATACCAGATGTTAGAAACAAGGTTTCTAACGTGCTTGGGAATTGGGGAAATTAGCTAGATCAATTAGGGATTGATCTAACTAGGATTAGGAGATGGGAGTTTGAGAACAAGAAGGGGAAAAGAGAGGGAAGCTGCTGCCGTAGCTTTGGAGGGAAGAGAGAGGGGAAGTCGACGCAGGAGAGAGAGAGAATAAGATTAGGATTTAGGCTTTCAGTTCTATAATTGCTTAATGAAAAATAATGCCCTAGTACAGATTATATAATCCGCCTAATCCCTATCAACTACCCAACTAATGAAACATAACAATCGACTCCCTGTTTATTCCCAAATACCCCAAATAATACCCCAAACCTTAAAAAACCGACAATAATCCGAATTAATAAAAAAACGACAATTAATGTGTTTCCCACATCACCACCCACCCACATTTAGTCTCGGGTTGGATCGGGGGGATGGCGGATGATGCGGGTGAGTTTGCGGGTTCGCCCACATCAAAATGTACATAATATAAATGATGAGTCAAGTTGACATGATCCATTTATATTTCAGAACCCCTGTGTAATGTCAATATGTAAAATAAAAATTCATTTCAACATCCGTTCACCCTCCAAATTTGAGATTCAAATGTCAAGATAGTTAGTGGAGAGTTATCGGGCGGAATCAAGAAGATGAAATAGAAAGAAAAAATGTCGAATTAGTTCTGAAATTGGATATAAATTCTATTATGGAGGAGTTTTCTACAGGTGGAGATGATTATTGGGCGCAAGAAACTAAGAAAAATAATTCAACCGACAAAAGAGAGGTGATTTGCGCACAAGAATCAGAGAAAAAAATAAAGGGAAGAAGAGGGAAGTTTACATTTGGAAGATTGACTTTGAGATTCAATCTCTAGAAGTATCCCTTATTTCCGTCAGCGTCTCCACTCTCCAATGCCAACGACTTTGAGTGAGTCACACGCGCACCCGCCCATACCCACCTGCCACTTGGTGGATGCCTCCTAGCACAACTCGTCACCTAGGAGTGGGCAACGGTAAACAGGTATTTGGGTATACCCATACCCCATCCCTTTTTTTGAGGGTTACGGGTACCACATACCCGTAATTGTTTTTACGGAATGAGACTTGGGATCAAGCATTTTTACAATGGGTACCCACGGGTTACCCGTTAATACCCGTTTGGGTATTACAGATACCCGTACTACCCGCCGTTTTAATTAAATGGTAGCTAATTAATTCAACAAATTGTGGTTTAAGGATTATTCTCTTTTGTTGAACATAGCAGTGATAGAGATATATAAATTAATATGTTAATTAAGCACATGTCTTTTGAGATAGCTATGTGGTTTAGCAGTAGTTGTTAGTCTCTCAATGATGTATATAATCATAAAGCTAATAATACAACAGTAAGACAGTAGTTGTTAGTCTCTCAATGATGTATATAATCACAAAGCTAATAACACAACAGTAAGACATTATCTTCTATACAAGCAGAACTAATGGCTTTTCATCATTCTCCCACGATGACTCATTCTCACGTTTAACCTTTCATTTTCTTTGCACATTCACGGCGCCACCTGCTCCAAGCAATCCTCGTGGTACATACGAATTCTCGATCTTATGATTTGTGATTAATATGGGTATCCGCGAGTACCCGTTATCCGTCCCATACGGATAATGGGTACTCGTTAACCCGTACGGATTTGAGACATGAGATAGAGTTTCATTTCCAAATGGGAATGGATACCCATTTCAAACGGGACGGGTACCCACCCCTATCGTCACCCACCCACAGACCCACCCAAATAACGAAATTCAGGTAAAATGTGGGCGGATGGACCCAAACCCGCAAGTGACCGGTCCGCATGTCCAGCCCTACCCCTTGGTAACAGAGGGGAGGGCGGCACCACTACATCCATCTCTGATGGGCTTTTGGGAAAAGCTCCTCTTAACCCTGTGGGCCTCACTACAATTTTAGGGCTCAATGCTCCATCTACATCCAAAGAAAAGTTCGGGCCAAGCCATACATCCAGCTCCACTTACTCTTCCGTTCAAACTATCGTTCCCCCGTCGGTTCGCACAATTACAGGTCTAAATGAAACTACAATTCAAATAATCAAAATGCAACCGCTAGAAGTAGGGATGATAATGGGTATGGTTGGGTCGGATTTTGCCAAATCCAAACTCATGGGTTTATTCTTGAAAAAAATCCGGGATAAAACTCACTGAGTTTAAAAGCTCAAACCCAACCCAACCCGCTTGGTATCCACGGGTTTATGGGTACCCACGGGTTTTTGTAGTAAAAAATTTACAATAACAAGTTCCTATCAAAATTAAAATCAAATATCAATCTCTCAATACAAATTATCCATATATAAAACACCATTCTAGAAAATTCAAGCAAATCACAAATTAACTATACAAATTGTTCAACACCAATCTAGAAAACACAAGAAAATTGAAGCAAATTACAAATTATCCATAAATAACATGATTAATTGAAAGCTTCTTCCTCCTTGTCAATTAAGTTTTTTCACTCTCCACTCAATAACATCAACTTCATTCTACATAATTAGAAAGAAAAAATTAGACATGTCTCCACAAACGTAAATAAGATTAGTTGTTTAGAATATTAAATATACCGAGAAAATTAATTACATGGATTAGGGCGGGTACCCATGGGGCGGGTTTACCTAAACCTAAACCCAACCCAACCTGGTGAATAGTGAACGAATTTAAATCCAAACCCGGCCCAAAATCCGTCAACACGGGTTTTTACACGCGTTGACCGGGTTGGGTCGGGTGGGTACCCATAGGGCTGCAAATGAGCCAAGCTGCTCGCGAGCAACTTGGCGTTCGAATCGAAAAAAACTCGTTCGACACTCGACTTGTTATTTAACAAGCCGGCTCAGTAAACGAGCCAAGCTTGAGCTAGACCATGCTCAGCTTGATAAGCTCGTGAGCTAGTTTGACTCGGTGGCTTGTTGAGCTAAGCTCGCGAGCTGGCTTGTTTAGAGCTTGTGGAAGGATTGATTACTCTTTTGAACATGAAAATTATCTTGTTAATAAGGATGTGTATGGAAGTTAGATGTTATTTTTAGTTTCTAGTGTTCTTTTTATCATTTTTTTTTTATCATTTTTAGTTTCTAATGTTCTTATTTGTACACATTTTTTAGCAAAGAATGGTTTCAAATCAAGCTCATCTTGAGCCGAGCTTGTACTCAGCTTGACAAGTTGTGTTAATGAGCGTTTATCGAGCTCTATCGACTCGAGGTCGAGCTGGATTATTTTTAATCGAGCTCGAGCTCGAGCTGGATGATCAAAATTCGAGCTCGAGCCAAAAAATTTATAAACGAGCCGAGCTCAAGCTAAGCAAAATCTCGACTCGACTCGGCTCGTTTGCAACCCTACGGCCGTGGGTGCGAATTTTGTTGCCATCCCTAGCTAGAAGCTCGAATTTCGAACAAAGAAAGCCCGTCAATAACCGAGAGAATGAAGAAGGTACGAAGCAGTAACCACCATCAAAATTCGAGCTCGAGCCAAAAAATTTATAAACGAGCCGAGCTCAAGCTAAGCAAAATCTCGACTCGACTCGGCTCGTTTGCAACCCTACTGCCGTGGGTGCGAATTTTGTTGCCATCCCTAGCTAGAAGCTCGAATTTCGAACAAAGAAAGCCCGTCAATAACCGAGAGAATGAAGAAGGTACGAAGCAGTAACCACCATCAGAAGCATGTAATCTCACTGAAGAACAACGACAACACAAAAACCCATTTTGGGTTTGGTGACGAACAAGAAAAAGCATACTAAAGGTATGGAGCAATCTATCCCAAAAACCCTTCAAGACTTAGAAGTGTTAATTGCCAACTTCATCAACAGAAGAAGGGGTTAAATCATCAATAGCTATAAACCCCGATCCAACCAATGCTTAAAGAGTCACCCCGACGGATGCATGAACTGCTTCTCTATGATTTTTTCTTTGGCCTCCACGTCAATTCTTGGTATTTAGAGTTGCCTTACAAAAGTCATTTTGTTTGAGCGGATCGTCGCTTATTGTATTTTCTTTTCGCGGGTGTGAAGTTCCTATCTTCTCACTTTTTCTTGGCTGAGAGGAATACCTAATATTTTATTAGGTTTGGTCACTCTCCGTTAGTCTCCATCAATCTTCGTTAACACCGTCAATGCTTTGTTGACATGACTGAGAGGAATTCCTAATCAACCAATTTTAACCTGAAAGAATTAAAATCCGACCCACCACGTCAGTTTCCCCGACCAAACCCGTGACCCGACCCTATACTCTATTCCCTACTTGACCCCAAGCTCCGCAAATCTTCTCCCTCTCCGTCTCCACGAACCACGATTCCCTGTAATGAATGCTTTGATAGGTTGTTGCTTATAAATTATAATGGATGGTTTGATTTCCAAAGTTAATAACGATCTATTATACTGTGTCCTATTGCGATGCAATTATATCACATCTCAACTGCATATGTATGTTTTTAGGCTTTCACAGCTTTTAATCCATATTTGTTAGGCATAACATAGTCAAAATTTGGTCATTGCTACTTAGCCATTTACCAACTTTTTACCCCCTATTACAAGGTACTGACAATCTCAAATGCAAGAAATTGGTTAGAACAGGCCTTAATTGAGTATGACAAGCCAACAGCACCGAGGACTAAAGCCATATCACCCCCATACACACATTACAAGTTCCTAACTCTCAAATTTATAAAAGAACACTTCGTTTCGACTCTTACCGGAATCTGTGAACTAATCCAAAAACCAGATAAACTGTCCCTCCCTCTACTCAAATTCACAGACAATTCAACTTCTACATTGCTTAGTACAAGCCTTCCTACTTCAGTGCTGTGCATCCACAACCCACAATATAATCATATATATAGCTCTATATAAATGTACTAGATTCACGAAACAAAATGCCTATTCTAGAGTACCACCACCACCACTACAAACTCACACCCTGGCTCCGTACCCCGTCATCCCAACAGTTGAACTCGAATGATTCACCTTGTTAGAAGCAGCATGGCCGGGGGGAGCTGTAGCCTTAGAGACATACATGTAATAGTAGACGTTGAGGATCATCGTCGCAACTACGAATGCAGCTCCAGCAATAAAAATGCCCTTCCTCAATGTATCGCATGAGAAGTTTTGAGCCAAGATCATGCCACGATACTTGGTGTGATACGCATTCTGCTTTGCACCAGCAACTAAACATGCTTCTGCAACCAGAAAAGTCAACCTGCAGGATGGAACTGCTAGTCAAATGAATTGCCCTTACTTTAAGTGCGGTTCATAAACAATTGTCGAGTTTTCTCACCATGAAGAGACAAAATAAATGATGGACCAAGCTCGATCACTACCCGGGGTTAGTGGTCTACCGAAACACATGCAACTTGTCACAACCATCAGTATTGTTTCACTGCAGAGGAGGAATAAAAAAGCACCTACTCCATAGCCAGTTGCAACATCAGACTTGTAGACACAGTACGTTGCATTAGTTGCATCTAGTACAATATGTCCCTGCCATACACGGAGAGAAACAAAATTAGACTGAAATGGAAAATATAGGGCCATACAGAGGCAGCATGAACAATTAGTTAAATTAGTTAAAAGTAATGAAGATAAACACTATTGGATAGGGACCTGAAAACTGTCAACTCAGCTACTAACTGAAACAGATAAACAATATAAGAGGCATACTTGTTAAGTCCTACATACAAACAATTCCAGAGACAGCATTTGAAAATGAATGTTGACTTGAACAAGTTCATGAGACAATTCCCTATGCGTTTACAAAATTTTTAGCAAATATAAGTTTAACCAATAGCTTCTAGTTCATCCCTACTTCTAACCCTGTAACTTTTTCTGTCAACTATTAGTACATTAGCCAACAGAAAGACATCACAACAGCATCGAACCGAAGGTTATGAATATGACTATCAATAAAGTTGTTGCATGGGGATAGCATTAAAGGACGGATGGGAAAAACCAAACACTATTTGCTACTAATCCACCTTCTAAGCTAGATTGGGTCATTTGATTACCATACAGAGAAGTCATTTGGGTCAATTATCAAGCAAGAGAGCAAATCAAGTAGAAGGAGAAAGTAGGGCAAGCAGTTTTGCACAAGGAATATATCTTTGCCATCCTTAATCCTAAAGCATAACATGATCAATTGATATGAGTTTTGCTTATGCCGTAAAAATGGAAAGTAAATCAAATCTAACTTGCTCTAATCATGCTGTTCCTTCATTTAACAATGCGGTTCACCAAAGCTCTGCCACCTCAAGTAGGGACTCTATTCAAATGCTTATGTTCAATAAACTCCCTAACAAAGAGATCAAATTAGCACAGGAAAACCGAATCATTGACTGAATTGGAACTTCATTGGCCTGAGATAACTTATCACTCAATATGATAAACAAAATGACAACAGTTTGACTCTTATTAAACCAATTAGATGCTGATTCCCTGCTTCAATTCCTACAAAGAAAGCTCCAAAAGGCCATAACTGCGACGTCTAATTCTTACAGGCTAGCCTCTAACATCATAGCTAAGAACTACATTCAAACTTCAAAGACTTCACCAAGCTAAAAGCTATCCAATTACTCTCTCGTATACCAGAGCACATCCACTCATAACCCTTCTGTACAATAGCAGGATCCACGCATCCAAACACACCCAAGTTCATAAATTTGCTAATAAACAAGCAGATCTTCATATATAATCAAAACTCTTCCCATCCAAGCCCTCTCCACCACCTAATGCACGAAAACGGACTCTCGAAGCCCACACAATTACCCTTGAATAACAGAAGAGGCAAAAGCAAACTACAAAGCTGAAACTACAAGTGAAGCGCAAGCTCAGAAAACCCATATCCAGTGAGAGGAAATAGGTGAAAATGAAAGCAGGAGAAGAAGGAATGGAAGCAGGAGACATACGACGCTTCTTCGTCTCTCGGCAGCAACGGCGAAGCCGAAAGCGATGAGGCTGAGAACCACCACCAGAAGGTGAACCAAAGTGGAGCCTCTACCTTGCCCCATCTCCCTTGCCCTCCTCAAATCTCAGCTTTCTTCTTCGCCCCTGTTTTTTCCTAGATGGGAGAAGGGTTTCTTCGATTTCTTTGGCTGCTTGCGACTGACTGGTGAGTGAAATGGAGTAGAAGAATGAATGCAGTGAAAAGGAGACTGCAAAAGTGTGAACTGTGTAGGTAAAGGACTTGCTCTGTACGCGGTCAGTGGAAATGTCAAAAAATTAAGTTTAATTCAAATATTCTCTTTTAAAATAACACAAAGACTCTTGTTCTCCCTCTTTTTCAAACTAGGAGAGGTATCGGTCGGAAGAATTTTTTCTAGTAATAATGTAATATGGTATATAATAATGAATATAATTAGGGATGACAAAGATATCCATAACTGTGGATGTACCCGAAGTATTTTTAGTGGGTACGGGTAAAACCCGAATCCGAATATTGCGGGTAATGGATGTGCATGGTTATCTAACTATCTAACTCGAACCCACCCGATTATACACATGGATATGTATTTTGTCTAGAAATAATCATTATGTTTCTCTAGAATATTTTATATTTAGCATATAAATATAATATTTTCATGAAATTATGTTGTTTTAATTAATTTTTGTCATTCTAGTGAATTATTGTCGTACTTTTCCTCTTATGTAATGTGAGTATACGTGTGAATGTTAACATATTGGTTGGAATTATAAGGAGAAATTATTACCCATGGATAACCGTGGATACCCGAAACCCGAACGGGTATGGGCATGATTTTGATTTTCTACCCGTTTCTCGTGTGGGTACGGGTATGGGTAAAACCCGAACTACATTGGGTAGGGTAACAGATATGCACTATCCGCCCCCGACCCGACCCATTGCCATCCCTAAATATAATAGAAGAATTGAAATGAATGAAATGATTGTTTTCTACCTTAGTTTATGCACATAACATTTTTGAAAGTGATCCAACTATGTATAATGGGTTTAGACCTTCATGAAAAGAGAAAAAGATAATAATATAAGCATTAGATATAATTATTGAATGAAAAAATAAATATAACTAATTGTCATTCATTACTTAATTAAACCATATAGTTGAAGATTAGAGTTGCTTCTCATAATACATACATAATCAACCTTTAGGATGAAAGAAAATGTCTTATAGAGTTTGGCATGTCCTTTAAGTTTTTCCCAATAGAGAGCATTTTTTATACCACACTGTTGGTAATGAATATGAAGTTGTTTGATTTCAAATATGTAGGACATGATGCTAAGTTGTCACTAATAATTAGTTGGACAATGTGTTGTGTACGGACTTTCCAAATTATTCTCAGATCGCAGACATGTCTAGCAACAATATAGTAATTTTCATGTAGCAATTTTTTTTCATGAAATAATTCAATAAATAAAAACATATGAAAATAATACTCATTAAGTTGATGAATGAGTTAATGTATGAGTAGCATACATTGATTATAAAAAAGATAGAAATTGCAAAGTGTCTTTGGGTTGCATGAGATTGCATATTCTCATTATCGCTAACTGACTTATGTTTTTTTGCAATAGATAGTTCAAAATGTACCTTAAAACTTTTGTTTCCACCAGTGTAAAAGAATTGTTTGAACCAAAGGATTATAAAATCGTATGGAAAAAGTTGGAAAAGTTGGAAGTAGAGTATTTTATACTGAAGCCATAATTTAACTGTGGTTTTCATATTGCTAAATATCACCTATCGATTTACCCTATGATGTGAAGTTTTATTGTTTAACTGTCGGTATGTACGATCTTTCAATACAAACTTTTAATAAAAAATAACTACAATATTGACATTATCGAATACCCTTTAAATCTAAAAATTACAATAATCGTATTAAGGAAAAAATCTTCCAAATTATAATATTGATTTAGGATTTTAAATTGAAATGGGAAAAAATATGTCAAATATAATGTCATCTCCTAAAATAAATCAAAACTCAACAGAATAGGGTCAAGAATATCCACTAATCAAAGCAGAATGACACATATTTCACACTACCACATTTTCCTCTTTTAAATGTGTCCTCTCACTCTCTCTTTACCTTCCCTCTATGTTTTTCCTTTTGTTCTTCCATCTTTCTCTCAGCTTTGTATCTCACCACTCTCCCCCATTTCCCTTCCTTTTTCTTCCCACCGCATGAAATCGAGAGAAACCTAGAAACATCCAAATTTCTTCTCCAATTTTGCGTTCATAATGCTTCTTCTCCATTCACAGTCGATAGTGTGAATCAGAGCACTTGAAACCTGGCGAACAGATGGTCGCATATTTATCGACGGATGAAAGTAGCTTGATAGCTTGTGAATAAAATAATTACTAAAAGTGATAAAAATCGTTAAACCAATCGAGCGAGTGTATGGTTAGTTCATCGCTTAAAGTCTTAAACCATTGTATTCATCTAAAGAATCAAAATGCATAATCAGGTCTTCACTTTACATGTGTTTCTCGTACAAATACATTACACATAAAAATGGTTTTAAATCAGCGTCATATCAAACTAAATCTCATCTTATGATTATTGGATCTATGTCAGATTAGCAAAAGGTCTAAGGCTATTGGTCAACCGGACTAAAAATTAATACGAATTTAGGAATTATATATCGCTTCCAAAATGTTCAATACTCCAATTCAATATGCAATATTCAATATTCAAACAAATGATATATGAGTTTCAAGCCCTCTTCAAATATTTTGGACAAAAAAATCTCCCCCCCTCACACAAATTTGCAAAGAAATACTAAATCTCAATTTCTTCTTCACTTTACTTGCTTCTAAAGTTATTTTATCAAATGACGCATTTCTCCATAAAACATGAGTTGACCAATATAGACTGTGTGGTGCTCGCACTTGTGCGCGAGCCCTTGAAGTTTAATTTTGGTACGACCCATGAAGCATTCGTGCTTGTACATGGCCGATCCATATACATTGTCTTCATGGTATGCTGTAACTGTGTCGTGCTAGCTCGACCAAGTGTCTAGGTATAGTTATATGCATTATAATATAAGTTTCTACCTCATGTAATACTACATTTGAATAAACTACAACTGATGTCACAAATAATAATTATACTTCTAAATCATACATAAAATATTTCAAACATCACAAATATTAATATTAAATTAATTATTATAAAGAGTAAAATTTGTATAATGAGGTTAATTATAACTCATTTATATGTTAATGCCCTATAAATTGATCAACATATCCGATCCAAAACTCACAAAATGAACATCATATTAAACTCGATATCGTCTCATTATCGTCGGATTCATTCATGCCCGATTAGCAAGAGTTTAATGTTTAGCAGTTAACCAACCTAAAATTTTAGAGAACCAATCACCCATAGTTTGTACAAAATATTATTGTTTCGTATTAGTTATGAAAATTTATATTAATTTAAAGAATTCTATATCGCTCTTGCATATTCAGTACTGCAGTTCGATATGCAATATTTCAAGCAATGAAATTTGTGTTACAATTTTAAGATTACCCGTCATTTTATAGGTTATAAAAATTATAAATCACGTATTAAACTTTGCTTTTTAGAAGATTTAATAGGCTAGCTAACCGTGTAAAGTCCTATGCTTTTCAAATCTTCGCTTAGTGCATGTTTACAATTTAAGAAGATAAAATAAATTTGTTTAGTGTAACTGGTTGTGATTATTATTTTTCTTTGGAGAGACCATGATTCAAATTTTGATATTGATACTTTTTCAATTGAAGTAGATAATAACCTTGATGATAAAAATACTCTTCCTACTTTCACTCTCGCTTCACGAAATTTGAAATAGAAAATCTTAAAATATTGAATATATCTTATAGAAAGAGCTTCTTCAACCAAGCAGGAAAGGTATTTTACCGGAAATTATTATATATTATACAAAGTGATTAATCGTGAAATCGGAACTCAAGTAACATTGATTCAAACATTAAATAATAAATTGTATGTGTGGTTCAATTTAGACAAAACATACTTATATGTAGCCAAACCATGGATCTTTGTGACAAATATAATAATTTTTTGTGTCACAAATCTATACATAATATAAAGATAAATTATGCACTATGACAAAATAGAGCTTCCTAGAATCACTCTAAGGCCACTAAATTTGAAATAGACTCTATTTTCCAACTTTATCATTATATTATGTATAGATTTGTCAAAATTATTTTTTATTATACTCGTCACAAAGGTCCATGTTTTGGTTACACTTCTGTATTTTGTCTAAACTAAACAACACATACAATTTAATATTAAGGTTTAAATCAAAACTATTTGAGTTTCGATTTCATAACTAATCTCCTTCTATAAAATACAAATGATTTAAGATAAAATATAAATATAGAAGAATCATCACCAAACATATTCCTAGAGTTTAATCAATGAAATAACAATAAATAAAATGTAGTCTAGTTGGTTGCAATACTCTTTATTCATTTAAGTAAGCAAGGTTCAAACTCCAATGATAATATTTTTAATATATAAACATAAACTGGGTGCGATGACAAAAATGACATTCTAAGAATCACTCTCAGACCATGAAATTTGCAATGAGAGAATTTCAACCCATGTTTTGCTTTTAAATATTTGGTAGATATGATTTTTAGTTATCTCTCTCTATAAGAAAAAGAAGAGAGGATGTAATATTGGAAATTTTTTAAGTCTAACATTTTTTTGTTATAGATATAAATAGTCAGATAATATACAAGAATATGATAGTCACTGTTAAGTGAACTATCAATAAGAGTCTTTTAAGTCATAATATGACAACTCTCTCTAGGCATATAAGATAATAGGGGTGAACATTGGGTGGTTAAATCCACAAATTCACCTAAAACCATCCACAATTGACCCACCCATATAATGTGGATGATTTCTATGGGTGGGTGTGGGTTGTAAAATAGGTGACCCACAAAAGATTGGGTGTGTGCGGGTGGACTGTGGTTGACCCACGACCCACCCAACTTTTAACCTCAAACCATCGAAGCTCTAACATATAGCTTTTTTCGAAAATTAAATCCTTAAAATAAAAAAATGTCTCTCAATTTCGATCATAGGATTGTGTTGTGAGGTGTGCTTAGGCCATTGAAGGTATGTTTAAGCATAACTAGTAGACAAATGGCAGAAAAAGATAGTTGTCTTGCCCAAAATGATACCATTTCAAACTACCACCTATT